CATTCATCTTTCCATATTACCTTTTATCATGTTTTTCTTCATTGAATTCATTTATCTTTTCATGGCTCCTAGCTTTCCAGTCACAGCTAGGAAGGTTTTCCAGCTTGGTGATTACAGAGGACTTGAGGTGACATGAGAGGAGGGACTTACGTGAGGGTGTGAGGGGGGAGGAGAGTATTTGAGGTAAGCCCAGGCCCAGGCAGGAGCTGTATTGGACTACAGCTGTGACTTGTGTCTAAATTAACTAGACTTGATTTCTGAAAACACTGAGTCTGTGTTTTCTATCCATTCTTATTTTTCACACCCCAAATTTATTTACTAGACTTCCTCCACAACTCCTGGCCTCAATATCTCTCTAGTTAGTCCTTTCTGTGACTAGCTCTTATTAATCAGAAGACATTGGAGAAGTACCTTATAATTTTTAAAAAGTAGAAAAAGGAGGAGGAGTGTTACAGAATAAAAGGGACTTAGAACGCGTTACCAGATCTCTGGACTGTGCTTAGATCATGATTCAAACAGCCAGCTGTAAAACCTTTTGGGGACAGTTGGTATCATTTGAATATGGGCTTGGTATTAATTTATATTCGGGCTTCATTATTATTTTTGTTAGGCGAGATAATGGCATAGTGTTTATGTTCTTTTTTAAATAGACTTTATCAGTTAGAGATGTATACCAAAGTGTTTCTGGGTAAAATGTTAGGATAAGGGATTTGCTTTTAAAGTATTCTAAGAAGAATGGCAGTAGGGGGATAGGGTGTAGGTATAACCGTGTTGATTAAATATTAATCATTCTTGAAGCTAAGTGATGGGTAATGGGGCTTCATATTCTTTTTTCTACTCTTTGTATAAGTTTAAAATTTTCTGTAATGAGAAGTTTAAAACGCCAAATATAAAATTACCATGTACTTATTGTAGAAGACTGAAAAAAAGAGAAAAGCTCAAGAAAATAAAAAGAACATGATCCCACCAGCCAGACATATCTGCTATTAACATTTATATCCTTCTAGACTTTTTTCCCATATGTAAATAAATACGTATACAATAAAAAAATACAAGGTCATTCAATATCTAAAATGCCTGAGCTGATATGGTGTAACCTTTCCATGAATATCATGCATAATAGTTCTCAGCATCATGGTGGTTCCAAGCATTTCCGTGTATAGATGTATCATGATTTATTTAACTATATCACTGCCATTGGGCTTTTAGGTTGTTTCTTTAAAAAAAAAAAAAAGATTTATTTGAGAGGGAGAGAGAAATAGCAGCAGAGATAGCGAGACAGAGCATGGGCGGGAAGGAGAGGGAGAAGCAGACTCCCCACGGAGCAGGGAGCCCAATATGGGGCTCGGTCCCAGAACCCTGGGATCATGATCTGAGCTGAAGGCAGCTGCTTCACCGACTGAGCCACCCAGGCGCCCCTTTTCAGTTATTTCTTATATTTTGCGCCTGGAAACATGAGCATCGCTGTAGGTAAATGATCGTTCATATCCAGATACAGTCGTTTGAGCCACACTCCTAGAGATGGAGTCACGGGGTCAGACAGTACATGCAGTGTACAATGTGATCCAGATTGCAAGCGTCCCTCCAGGGAGGTGGTACCTTTTGTACCTACCCCAGCAGTAAAAGGGATGCCTGTCTTTCTGTACTTGTGAATCCAGAAGACAGACGGGCTCAGACCGGGGTAGGGTAGCGATGCAGGGTAGCCATCCCGCAGAGGCATCTCTGGCTCTGACATTGGATGCATCATCACCGGGGCGTGTAGGGGAAGGCAGGGTTAGCCGCAGTGGGCGTCCGCGTGGTCACAGGAGCTTATGTTCTGTCTGCGAAGGGGCTTGGGCTTAAGGAGAGCCCCGTGTCTCTGGCCCTGCAGGGAGCTCTCCATCTGGCCGGGACACCTGCCTGAGGCTTCAGATCAGTTAGCATATACCATGTGCCTTGTTCTCTAGTGTTTACGAAGTCCTATCCCTTGGACTCTCTGCATAGATGGCTCAGCCTGCATTTTGGTGTGGTACTTCCTTGTCTAGGCATCCGTAGAGACAAGATCACCCGGAAGGTCCCCTTTTGCCCATCTCTGAAGCTCAACACACCTCCCAGCTCTCAACCTTGCTTCAGTACCTTTCGGGTTATCTTGGTATGGCGGCTCACTCATCAGTGTTGTCTGTTGCAAAATCTCCAGTGGGTTTACATTTCGCGGCTTTCGTACAACAGTTGTAACATTGACCTGGAACTGTCAGTTCTATGCCCATGCTCATATGTGGTTGTCCATACCAGTGCCTTGTTTCACTCCGCCCGTCAGAGATCTCTGAGACTGTCCGAGGACAGGCTCCGGAAACTAGCTTTCTAAGGTTCTCTAATGTAGTGAGCTTTTCTTTAGAAAGCCAGTTCAAGTATAGCATTGTTTTTATTTTTAAAGATTTTATTTATTTATTTATTTGACAGAGATCACAAGTAGGCAGAGAGGCAGGCAGAGAGAGGAGGAAGGGGGAAGCAGGCTTCCTGCTGAGCAGAGAGCCCGATGCGGGGCTCCATCCCAGGACCCTGAGATCATGACCTGAGCCGAAGGCAGAGGCTTAACCCACTGAGCCACCCAGGCATCCCCAAGTATAGCATTTTAAGGTAGTCAAACAGAAAAGACCATCAATGGGGCATCCAATCCACAACCTAGGAAATAAAGAATGTCACTGAAATTACCCTGGATACAGCCCCCCTTTAGTGAAGAAAACAGTGTATTGAAAAGACAGTGAACTGATTCTCCCTGTTCCTTTAGGGAAATTACATCCTAGTGAAAACACCTTTGAACTTAATCATCTTTGCATTCTTTTGTGTTAAGCAAATTTTTTTCAGTTGGACACACATCCTTAAAGGGTATCTGGAATCTGCCATTGTCTCAGAATTAAACAGAGCTGAGGCACCGTGGGTTTCCCAGGGAGCACACGAGTAAGAGTGAAAGAAAGGGTTATAAGCCCCCACCTCCCATCGGCAGGCATTGTTAGGTCATGGGATTGCCTTCTTGTGCAAAGCTTAGATTGGAATGTATAGGAACCCCCAAATTAGAGAGCCTTTCCCCCAACACACCCCAGAGGAACTTACCTGAGCGGTAAGTTTCTAAAAATGTAGTTGATATTGATTTTTTTTTCTTTTTTAAACGTGAATTTGTCCCAAGACCTCCTCCAGGGGCTTGGCCTTACCCTCCCCCCTTTACCCTTTACCCTGTGTTGGGCCCTCACCATGCGCCCGGCTACATGTTGCGGGGTAGCTGGGGAGGAAGGAGCCGCGCGTCGTGAGTGACCAAAGTGGGGCATGAACTGCGTGAGGTGTTCTTTCTGCTTCATTTTCCCCTCAAAGGCTCTTGAGGAGGTACTGGTATCTCTGTCCGAAGGTGAGTGGGGAAACAGCGGGTTTTGAACAGTGTGGTAACTTGCCTGAGATCTCACCGTGTGGGGTGGCGGCATCGCCTTGGCGTCGGGAGCTGGGGGCTCCTCTGGAGAGGAGGCAGTTCGAGGGCAGCTGGCTCCCGGCTGGACTGTGAGAATCTTGACCCTGAGCAGTTTATGCCCAAGTTTGGGGTCGACCGACAGCGACGTATTGGGGCGCTTGCCTATTGTGTCATGGTCATTGTTGTTCCACAGTTCCAATCACACCATGATTGGCAGTATTTTGACTCTTGATTGTTGCAACATGATGGAAGTTGTAGGGCACCAGGAAAATAAGACTAAAAGGGTTGTAATGCCTTGTATTCCTCCCTGTGTTTGTTTCCTAAGGCTGTGCTAACAAAGTACCCCAAAGTGGGGGGTTTAAAGCGGCAGGAATCCTCTCATGTTCTGGAGGCGGGAAGTCTGAAATCAGGGCGTCAGGGTTGGCTCCTTCTGTGGCCGTGAGGAAGAATCTGTTCCTTGTTTCTCTCTTGGCTTCTGGTGGTCTGCTGGTGATCTCTGGTGGTCCTCACTCCTGACTTCTGCCTCTGTCTTCACGTGGTGGTCTCATGTGTATCTCAGTGTGTCCAGATTGCCCCCTTTTGATAAGGTCATTGGTCCTTTGGACTAGGATCCACTCCGGTGACTTCACTTTAACTTGATTATCTCTGTAAAGACTGTCTCCAAAGACGGTGCTCTTTGGTACTGAGAGTTAGGGATCCAGCAGATCTTTTTTCTGGAGGAGAATGGAGAGGGACAAATCACCCCTGAGCACCCCCATTCAACATGGCACCACAGAGTACCCACAATGCTCCTGTGCTTGACCCTGAGCACCCCCATTCAACATGGCGCCACATAGTACCCACAATGCTCCTGTGCTTGACCCTGAGCACCCCCATTCAACATGGCGCCACAGAGTACCCACAATGCTCCTATGCTTCACTTGAAGGCAGGATTCACCATTGTCCAGATGCCCCAGGGATTCAATGTGGCTTTCTTGGTTTGGGGGACAGTTGACAGGGCTTCCCACAGCCCAGTTTCTGCAGGCCCGAGCAGTTGGGGTGGGAAAATACGAGATTCTGCGTTTCTTATTATTTAATTACTTGATGCAGAAAATATGAGGCCTGGTGACATCCAGTAATGATTGTTTTCCCTTGAGACACCGAGGGGTCAGCTTCTTCTGAGTCTTCTATAACAAAGCAAACAAGCATGGTTTCTCGACAGCGAGGGGCTTTAAGCTGGGGATTTCGGGTCTTGCCAGCTGTCCCTGTCTCCGTGTTCTCCGGGAAGAGCCACACGTCCGTGAGCACACCTTGCCCTAGAACCATGGACGGTAGTCACAGTGTGTTCCTTCTGTGAGTTTCCCTCAAGGAGGAGAATGTGATCGAAGGCATCAGGGAGAATCAGACCCCACATTCGAGCTTTCCGTAAGGATCTTCTGTAACCAAAGTAGGCATCCGAGGCAACTTCAGAATGGGGGTCTTTTCGGTTTATCACTTTGTCCTTAAGCGTTCTAGCCCGTGGGACGAGGGGAGTGAGTGGCAAACACTGGGGCCGGAGCTGTTCTCACTGTGCGTGTGTTTGCAGACACCAGCTGGAGACGCCTGGTCATTACTCCCATCTGGCTGCGTTCTACGAGGACAAGAAAGGGGTGCTCCATGCCGGGCCGGGGAGAGGCGGCAGCCTGCCCCCCGTCTACTGGCTGCCTTCCATCCACCGATACATGTACCCCGAGATGAAGGTAGGGCTAGCCGTGCGCTCACACGGTCCTGGACTTGTGTCTGCTACCGTGGTTGTTGTTGTTGTTGTTTTTTAAATTCATAAGGAATTTATGTCTGGGACCTATGCCCAAAGTCTGGTTTTGATGGGTTTCTGACCTAAGCGTTTGGGTTCTTTTAAAACACAAGGCAACAGTATGCTTTCTAGACACGGCTGTCACCATGGAGCAAAGCCACGTGGGAGGCTAGGCCAGTCGTGGCGGAGTCCTAGCGGGGGCAAGGGGGCTTTGATTCTGGTATTGGCTGAGATCATTTAAAACCAGACCCTTGAACTGAAAAAATGAAAGAAGAAGAACATGGTGAACAGTTGTCCTGTTCCGTGGTTACCGTCTTCCTGCTGCTGCCTTATCACATTTTGTTCCAAAGTCCTTTGCCTGGGTGCCGGAATGTGTTCCTTCACAGTTCACAGCCTGAGGTGTTGGGAGGCTGCAGAGATGAGTAGGAATGTGAAGCTCCTTCTCCCTCCCCTGCAGGTGGTCACAAGCTAAGTCAGGGGAAACAGAGCTCCCTGGTGGGGATTCTGTGCCAGGGTTTGAGGGAAAACTCCGGCATCTTCGAAGAGGAGTTGGTCCCTGAAGTACTTGGCTGGGTGAGAAGGAAGGGATGCGGATTCCAGACCGAGGGGAGGCTCCTGGGAGCCGTGGTCTGTGGCGCTCTCAGAACGTTGGCATTCTGCCAGTATTTGTCTACACCTGATGCAGCATCTTTTCAAAAAATTTTTATTTATTTTTAAAGATTTTATTTATTTATTTGACAGAGATCACTAGTAGGCAGAGAGGCAGGCAGAGAGATAGGGGGAAGCAGGCTCCCCACTGAGCAGAGAGCCCGATGTGGGGCTCGATCCCAGGACCCTGAGATCATGACCCGAGCCAAAGGTAGAGGCTTAACCCACTGAGCCATCCAGGCGCCCCTCTTTTTTTTTTTTTTTTTAAAGTAAAGGATTGTTTCATAAACCAAGTGAGGTCTGTGAAGGTTCAGTGACTTAAGGCCTTACAGCTAGGAGATAGAGCCAGGATTTAAACATGGGGCTGGAGCCACAGCTAGTACGCGCGCTCCCCACCAGCTCTGTGGAGAGGTGGGTGGAAGAAAGCACAAGGGTGGTTCATAGGACAGAGATGCCGCAGGTTCGGCTCCAGATTGCCACGGTAAAGTGCCATAAAGTGAGTTCGATGCAGTGTTTGGTTTCCCAGTGCGGACAAAAGTTATGTTTACACCATGCTGTATTTTCTTAAATGTGCAATAATGCTGTGTCTAAAAAACAAAAGTACATACCTTAATGAAATAGTAATTTATTGCTAAAAATGCTAATCATCATCTGTGCTCTCAGTGTATTGTAATCACTGATCACAGATGACCATTACAAATATAATAATAATGAAAAAAAATTTTTTAACATTTATTTCTTGGGGCGCTTGGGTGTCTCAGTGGATTGGGCCTTTGCTTTCGGCTCAGGTCATGGTCTCAGGGTCCTGGAGTCAAGTCCCGCATCAGGCTCTCTGCTCGGCGGGGAGCCTGCTTCCCTCTCTCTCTCTCTCTCTCTGACTGCTTGTGATCTCTGTCAAATAAATAAATAAAATCTTAAAAAAAAAAAAAAGATTTATTTCTTTTAGAGAGCATGAGTAGGAGGGGGGACGAGAGGGAATCTCAAGCAGACTCTGCTGAGCATGGAGCCTGACACGGGGCTTGATCTCAGGACCCTGAGATCATGACCTGAGCTGAAGCCATGAGTTGGGTGCTTAACTGACTGAGCCACCCAGGCGCCCCAATAATAATGAAAATTTTGAAAAATTGTAAGAGTTACTAAAATGTGACACAGAGATGTGATGTGGGCAACTGCCATTGGGAAAATGACACCAATAGACTTGCTTGGTGCAAGGTTGCCACAGATTTTCAATTTATAAAAAATGCAGCAACTGTGAAGCCCAGTTAAGTGAAGGGTGGTAAAATGAGGTCTGCCTGTAGTTTGACTGGGATTGAATTTCCATGTCAACTGACCAGGAGAGAAACGATTAGAAAAGTAGGTTGGAATCAAATTGTAGAGAACCTTAAACACTTGAACAATGAATATGAACCCAGTAGATACCAGTTAGGGTCTTGCCAGGAAAACATAAACTATGTTAGATATTCCAAGAAACTTCATTTTTTAAAAGATTTTATTTATTTGACAGAGCACAAGCAAGGAGAGTGGCAGGGAGAGGGAGAGGAAGAAGCAGGCTCCCCACAGAGCAGGGAGCCCAATGTGGGACTTGATCCCAGGACCCTGGGATCATGACCTGAGCCAAAGTCAGACACTTAACCCACTGAGCCACCCAGGCACCCTCCAAGATCCTTTAATACAGAGAATCCATAATCTAGGCACTGGAAGGCTGAAAGAGCAAAAAGGGGGCAAGGGAATCTAGATATTTGTATTTATAGATAGCTCCCACCTTCTGTTAGCTACCCCAATGTTAATGGTTTGAATTAATACATATTTACTATCTCACAGTTTCTGTGAGCCAGGAATTCAGGCATGTTTTGGCTGGGTCCTCTGCTTTGTGGTCTCCCATGAGACCATAGTCAAGGTTTCAGCCAGGGGTAGGGTCTTGTCTGAAGGCTTGACTGGGGAAGTATCCACTTCCGAGCTTACGCGGTTGTTGGAGGATTGGTTTCCTTGAGGGCTAGTGGACTGAGGCCTTCAGTACGGCTGCCTCTGTGTTGTCCTTAGTCCATAGCAGGTAGGTCTCTCCAACGTGGTGGCTTGGTTCATCAAAGTCAGCAAGCGTAAAAGTCTCCTAGCAAGGGGGAAATCAAAATCCTTTGTAACCTAACTGGAAGTGACAAGCCCCTCAAAGTTGCCATCTTTTGTTGGTTAAAGCAAGTTGCTCAGGAGAGAGGATTACATAAGGCTGTAAATACCAAGAGGTGGGGATCACTGAGGGCCCTCTTAGAGGCTGCCTGCTGTGTGCACCCTCCCAAGGCTGGGATAGCAGAGGCCAGGATGACATTATCAAAACTACAGGGGCTTAAGGAAGGGCCCTACACAGCCTGTGCTCAGGTGTCTTAGGCTCTCTGCACCTGCTGATGCTGGACCCTTGAGGGTGGGGGGAGCTGAGGAGGGATGTGGCTTGGCTGCAGCTGCTGGGAGAAGCTGGAGGCCAGAATCAGAGATGACCTCTGCTGCTGGCGGAATACTAGCAGGAGTGAGACACTGAAGAGAGCTCCTTCTTCCTTCCAGCCGGTCATTTCATCCCAGGGGAGGAATATAACAGGAAGCCTGCTGCCACGGGAGTCCAGGGAATGTCGCTTAAAGAGTTCCCCGCACCACAGCGTGCCCTGAGAGGCAATAATTAAGAAACGTTCCTTAAGGGTCATTAGGCGATTCTGGGTCTGTACTGACTGAACCCTGATCTTGTCCTCGCCACTTCTAACTCTGACCCACTTTTTCCTTCTCAAATTGCTGCTGGGCTATCTCAAACCCACAGGGAGGTGACCAGCATCTGACCTGGGTGGCCCCGGATTCCTCCTCCCCATAGGCCATGAAGGAGGGATAGCAAGAAGAGAAAGGAAAATCGTCTTCTGCTTTGGCTCCATTGAGGGCAGCTCATGAGCACACATGTCAAACGCTACTTCCTGCAGGGGCAAGGGTACTGGGGTAGGTCGCAGATGGAAATGTGAGTGATCTTTTTACAAAACAATTTGGAAGTACTTATTAAAAATACCTGTACCCTTCGCTTTGGCAGTCCCGCTCCTTAGGATTTTTCCTGTATTTATAAACCACCAGAATACAGTGATGTCCCTCTAAGCGTGTTGAAGTCAGCAGTGTAGAGAGTGGTGGAAAGTGAGAATGCCCCATATATTAGACAGCCTGCATAAATAATGAATTAGGGCATACATCATTGATGTGGAGGGTCTACCAGGAAGTGTTTTTGGGTGAGAACAGCAAAGTGCAGAAAGCTATTTGTGATACAATCACGTGCTTTTGTACAGTAATCACAGCCTCAGGTATGGGTATCCATACTACACACACACATCGGTGTGGGACAGGGCTTCGGTATACACTAGGTTACTAATACATATATTACCTGGGGGTGAGATAAGATATGGAGGGACGGTGTGGATAAGTATAAAAAAGGAAAGGACCAGGAGAAAAATGACAGCACTTGAAACAATAACATATATATGACCAGTGGTCCTTTATGGAATATCGCATGTATGTACATATAAAGAAATGTCTCTAGAAGCTTTCTCTTGAAACATAATATTTTGTAGTCACAAGTTAAAAAACATAAATATGTAGTTCAGTGAATTTTTACAGTGTGAACACCCCTATGAAGAAAGGTTTACAGTAAGCGTTTAAAGTTGGGAGTCAGATCTGGGACGGTTGCAGAGACAAAAATCACTGGCAAGGGAGGAAGGAAGGCTCGAGGCCTCTCTGATGGGTCCGGCAGTGCCTGGTAGATGCCCCGCCTCAGGAGGTGGGGAAGTGGGGGAGAGCGTAGGGACTGCGCCCCAGGACCAGATGGAGTCCCTCCGCGGGTACGGGGTGGAGGGGAGGCGAGGGATGGAGACAGCCCACGGGGTCACCGGCCACAGCCGGGAGTGGAGAGAGCCTGGAATACAGGCCTTGGCAGGCCGGAGGGAAAATGTGAAGGCGGGAGACGAGTTTCCTATAAAAGCAACAGCAAAATGAGGCCCAGACCAGGGAAACAGATTTAGGTGAAAGCAGGAGAAATGTCCCTTGATGTAACCCCTTCCCTCATTGCCTGGGCCCAGCGCCAGCCCCGCACCTCAGCTATTAGAAGTTCCCAGGAAGTAACGTGTTGCCTCTTGTCTCCAGGCCTTTGCACACACTAGCCCCTCTACCAAGAACACTGTTGGTCCAGCTTCTCCATGTTCAAGCTGAGACACACCTGCCTCTAAGAATCGGGTCGGGTGCCTCCTGTGAGCTTCCATCTGCTCTCAGACTCGGATTGGATCGCAGGTGCACCTGCTTCTGCCTGTAGTTCCTACACTACATGGGGGGCCAGGGCTGGGCCTTTCCAAGGCTCATTGTCCAACTGAGCCTACTTCGCACAGTTAGTGCAAAGTTAGCATGTGAGAAACATTTCTTGTCCGAGCGCATCTGTGTGTGCATCCGTGAATGGATGAGTAAGTGAGACCAGAATTAAGGACTGATCATTTATTCTGGGATCCTAGGGCCCAGGACATGTTCAGGCAAAACACTGCTGGGCCTTCATACAGAGGAGGAACATGCTCGGGGCTTGAGGATCACCAGAGGGGAGGTTGGGAGGGACCTGGAGGGGCGTGGGCTCCTGTCCCGTTGCCTGCGTAATTTTGTGAAAGATTGGGGTTGGAGCAATCTGACCAGACCTGGTGGTTCGGGTTCTCTCCTGCTGGAGATCTGGGAGAGGTGTAGCACAGGGGCGGGACAGGGGCCCTCAGCAGAGGGCAGCCTTTCTGCCAGTTCGAGGCAAATGAAAGGCGCAGGTGTGGGAAGGATGCTGTCCCAGGAGAGGGTGGCTCATGCGGTGGGTCCCCAGGGCTACCAGCCAGCAAGCCCAGCTCTGGTCTCTGTGTGGGCGCAGCTCCTCAGATGTCCTCTCGCCAGCGCCCCCAGTGGGTGGTGGGCGCTATTGCTTCTGACACAAGCGTGGAAGTGACCTTCCAAAAGCCCTGCTGAGGGACAGAGCCGGAGGATTTCCTGTTTGATCAGCGCCTCCGTGCTGAGCATTTCATGTGGTTTTTTTCTCAGATGGTCCTGACAGCCATGGGAGGGACGGGATTTCACAGATCAGGAGAGTGAACAGGAAATGTTGGCTAACTTACCCCAGGCCTCCCATCAGTAAATGGCAGAGCTGGGATTGGAATTCAGCTTTTCTGGGGTCAGAGCTCCTGGGGACTTCCTGGCCCAGGGATCCTAGAAGCAGCCCTCGGCGGCGACAGGCTCCTTGCCCTTGGCAGGAAGGAAGAGGCCGGACCCCACGTGCCGCGTTATTGAGCGAGGACCCTTGAGGTCCTCCTACCTGTAACCTGCACACTCACTTCCCACAGTAGCATGCCCGTATACATGGGGAGCTCATCACCTCACCCCTTCCAGGGCTCAGTGATGGTTTTGAGTCGAAGGTTCTCTTTGAGGCGGTACTGTCGATTCAGAAACTTTTCTTCCTGACTTTTCAAAAATTACGTTCATCTTTTTTCTTGTGCAACCCCTCTCCTGAGTAAAGCCCTTCATGACCCCGAAACTCAGACCTCATTTCATTGTATCAGGGGAGCCGTTGGAGGATCGAAATCTCGTCTGAAAGTGAGGCTCTAAAGTGAATAATGCCATTTTGTGTGGAAGTAGCCATCCCTCGGTGCCATGTTGGTTGTTCTCTGCAGTTTGTGGGGGGCGGGAGGTAGGTGTTTCGCGCACAGCTGTACTGAGTCATTTTTCACATCTTGAATGGGCTTGTCTCTTCCTCTTTTTTTTTTTTTTTTTTCCCAGATCACGCACCCAGCTGGCTGCATGTCTCAGTTTATCAAGTTCTTTGGAGAACAGATCCTCATCCTTTGGAAATTCGCCTTACTTCGAAAACGCATTTTGATATTTTCTCCCCCTCCTGTGGGTGTCGTGTGCTACAGAGGTAACTAGAAGCCAGCGTTCGGTTTTCTAGAGCAGAAACCACCTGAGTCTTCACATTGTTGACCAAGTTCAGAAGAGTTTGGGGTGTCCCAGGGGGTCCCAGTTTTCCAGCATGGGAATATCAGGGTTGGCCTTGTGTTCTAGAATGGGCTCTGGTGGCAGAGCAGAAGTTGGGTTGGGCGATGCATCCATAGTCCGGTGGGAGAGAATAGATGTGAGAGAAGGTGGACTCTGATACGTCGAGGAGGTAAACCTGGCAGACGCTGGTGTGTGATGTGGGTCGTACGGTTCTGATGTGTGTGAGGTAATGGAGGAAGGGTCCAGGATGACAAGGATGGTGGGGCCACCAGATGGGGGCCCAGGAGGAGGAGAGGGGGTGGGGTGGTAGCCTTGGCCTTGTACATGAGGAGGACACGAGGCACCGGTGCAGTCAGGTCAGGACCTCGGGGGAAAGTCAGGCTGGAGAAAGAGACTTGACAGTGGCATACAGTGCCGGTGACCACAGGATGGATGGTGTCCCTCGGGGAGAGCCAGAGTGAGGGGAGGTGATGTAGGCACAGGAGGTGAAGCAACACACAGGGACGACAAAGGTGACTGAGCTGGGGCTCAGTCAGGGAGGGAACCAGGAGATGGGGTTACCACAGCCAGGAGTTACGAGGAAGGGGAGGGTCAACGGCACCAGACCGTAAGCAAGACCTCGTGAGGGAAGACTGGAAACCATCTGTTGGCTGTGTAAGGCCTCCTTGGTGTCCCTTGAGATCGCGTTGCGCTGTGGGACCGGAAAGGCTGGCACCCCTGCCCAAACCCCTCAGAATGCCAGAGCTCCACGGTGACTCCGGTTCTAGGACAGGCTGACTGCTGGGAGGGGGCGGCCAGCGGGCTGCGAGGGAGGAGGGACACACTCTTCCTCTCTCCCCTCCCCGTCCCACAGTGTACTGCTGCTGCTGTCTGGCCAACGTCTCCCTGCCTGGAATCGGGGGCACCATTCCCGAGTCCAAGCCTTTCTTCTATGTGAACGTGGCTGACATCGAGAGCCTGGAGGTAGAGGTGTCCTATGTGGCCTGTGAGTACGGGGCCCTCCCCGCGTCCTGCCCACACGTCCTCGGCCCGAATCCCTCCGGCAGCCCCGCTGGAAGCTGGGCTCTAGCCCTCCGGCTCCCCGGGGGGGCCTCCTCCTCGCAGACGCGGGGCTCCCGGACCCCTCCTGTCCTCAGTGGGCCCGGGCGGGTGCGTTTTGGGGACGGCCTCCAGGTTCCCAGACCCCGAACTCGGATGTCGCAGGCACCACGGAGAAGATTTTCGAGGAGAAGCGGGAGCTGTACGACGTCTACGTGGACAACCAGAACGTGAAGACGCACCACGACCACCTGCAGCCCTTGCTGAAGATCAACAGCGCCGACCGCGAGAAGTACCGGCGGCTCAACGAGCAGAGGTGAGGGGGTGGGGGCCGGCCCGCGCCCTGCCAGAGGGGGCGCGGGGGTCTGTCTGTGAGGCCCGCGCTGCCCGCCCATCCCCCGTGCTGCGTCGGGGTGGCACGTACCCGTGGGGTGACTTCTTTCCGGTGGGCCTCAGACCCCGGGGGACCCCAGGGACAGCACCAGCCTGGAATGAGCACCCAGGGAGCCCGGTGTTGCCAACGTGCTTATGCGTCCTCTCGCCTAATTCTCAGACTTTGGTTCTGTGCCGTGAGTGGCCTCGTGCGGTATCAGTGGCGACATCAGTAATATCGTCCCCATCATCCCTGTTCAGAGGGCGTTTAAGAAAGATGGTCGCTTGCCTGAGATCACATGGGGCCGCAACTGGCCCCGCACCCCAGGGGTTGGACTCCAAGCCCCGTTGATTCCTTTCCTGTCCGTCTTCCACAGCTTTGGGGCCCGGGGCTGGGGCTGCCCTTCCTGGGGGGGGTGGAGGGTGGGGTGGCCCATGCAGGGGCCTGACCGAGGACCTGCCAGATGTCGTGGGTCCTGCAGCCCCATCGGAGCGTGATGGTGGCCTCCCTCCCTCCCCACAGGCAGATGCTGCTGTACTCCCAGGAGGTGGAGGACGACTACAACCCTTGTGAGGAGGACCTCTTTGTGCTGTAAGTCAGCCTGGCGCGTGCGGGGTTTTCCTGAGGATTCCGCAGCACCCACCGCTTTGGGCCTCGACCCTTCCCCTGTCACCCTGCGCAGCCCAGGCACGTCCTTTGTTGCTGCCAGGTGCGCTGGGAGCTGGGCTCCGTATGGAGTCCGCCGCGAGCCCTGAGATGCCATCGGGGGGACCCCCCAGAGAAGTTAAGGAGAGAAGCAGGGAAGTTCAGAGAAAATGGGAGTCCCAGTGTGTCTTTCCCGTGAGCATTCCCTGCGGATGTCCACTGCATAGACGCATCTGTCCTTCAGGACTCAGGGCTTCTCCTCCATCGCTTGTTTGAATAAAGCTGTTCCTCACGTTCAGTATTATGGGAGAATCAGAAATTGTGACTTTTGAACCCAATGAAAGCTCTTGCCCCTGTATGTGATGGTGTTTGGGGCAGGACCCGTGGTCCGTACACCTCACGGCATTTGTCTCCCGTCTGAGCAGCTGTGGGAAACAGCGATTAGGGAGGAGGACAGAACAGCGTTTGCAACAGAAGCCATTCTCCCTGGTCCCTGTTGGTCTTCCTTCCCTGTGTGCTGGGGTGGGGGCAAGAAGGGGCCCTTGCAGCTAGAACGGTGCCTGGCTTGGAGACCTTTTTTTTCTTTTAATTTTATTTATTTATTTGAGAGAAAGAGAGTGAGAGAAAGAGCACACAAGCAGGGGGAGCAGCAGGCAGAGGGAGAAGCAGGCTCCCCGCCGAGCAGGGAGCCTATTGTGGGGCTCGATCCCAGGACTCTGAGATCATGATCTGAGCCGAAGGCAGACATTCAACTGACTGAGCCACCCAGGAGCCCCATGGCTTGGAAAACTTCTGATAAAGTGTACTTCCCAATCCTCCCATGATGTTGACATGTAACAGTGTATGGAATTGAGCAAAGAGCCCACAGTGTTGTCAAGGTGTGACAGTTCTGCTACATCTGAAATTCCTGAGAGTTGAGAGTCGCTTTGGGCCTGAGGAGCCTTTGCCGAGCCTGAGACCCCTGTGGAACACAGCTAAAAAGTCAGGACAGTGAATGCCTTTTCTGCATATGACTTGTATGACTTGTACCACAAACCCATGACATTCAAATCGTGTTCTGTGTATAATCCCACCACCACCGGCAGCAGCAGGAAAAAAAAAAAAAAGCGAATCAAACGAAAACAAATACAGGGAGCCATGGCGGTATTGGTGCCTATCAATGTCCCCGTCAATATCCCTGGTGCCTTCTGTGTCCCTGTCACCCCCGTCTCCCAGCTTGGCTGGCTGTGAGACCTCCCTGGGCCTGCCCCGGCTCCTGAGCCCCAGCTCTGCCCGGCATGCTCTGTGGGATCTCAGGCCCCCAGTGGCTCAGGCTGGGGGCTGGACCGGTTCGGGGCCCTACTCTGTTCCCACCGTGGCTCACCCCTGCTGCTGGCTCCAGTGGCCTTGTCCCCGAGGCTTTGAAGATGAATTTTAGTTTCTCACATTCTGTCTAGACCTCAGAGCTGCATCATCAGTGGGTTTGGGGTTTTGTTTTTTCTTTCTCCTCCCCTTATGACTAGGAGACAAAGGAACACAGAGTACGGGAACACAATACAGCATCTGTAGGAACCTTCCACAGGAAAGTTGGGTTTTGGCAGTCGGGCCATCACTGGTTCAAAGACTTTGCCAATCATACTGTGGTTAGTGTCCATGGTTTCTTTACTAAACCTTGTGTCAACCCTGGAACTTTGATCCTATTTCCTTATTTTCAGGACTATTTCTGAGTTTGAAACCATTTAAAAGGATCTTAAAGCCATGTAGTCCCAGTTCCTCATGTGGGGATTATTGGGTGACTTGTTTTGTTTTGGCTTTTCTGCCCTCCCTTCCCTGTGTCTTCTCTGGCGAATGCAGGTTTTTCTTAGAGCAAAACAACCGGATATTTCAGACTTTGCTGGAGGTGTCCGCCAGTCAAGATAAAACTCTGACCGCTGAGCATGCCCGTGGCATGGGTCTAGACCCCCAGGGAGACCGGAGCTTTCTGATGGACCTGCTGGAGGCCTACGGCATCGACGTCATGTTGGTCATCGACAACCCCTGTTGCCCATAGGAAGAGGGAGCCAAGGCTGGTGAGCCTCCCTCACGTGGGGATTTCACAACGGGCCCCAGAAGACCTCATTTTTTATTAAGTTGACACAAAGGATTATGGTTTCTACTTTCCAACAAATGTGATTTTTGCAGTCTCCTTTCTTCGCTTCCTCCCTAGTGGTAAGACGAGGCCATCTTGGTTTTATGTCCTGCTTTGATAAGATGCCGGGATCCACCAATTTCTCCCAGAGCAGAGTCTCTCATCTCCTTGTTGAGTGACTTTGAGGGGATGTGGTGAAGGCCGTCTGTCACCAGGAGCGGGCCGAGCTCTGGAAACACTGGGGAGGACTATTCAGAAAGTCTCTGTAGTTTTCATCCCTTGAGGTACTGGAGAATGAGAGCGCTGTCCCCGGACAGCTGCGGACGTGCATCTCCTGGAGGTGGAAGCTAGACCTCATGACCCTTCACAGTTTTTCTCCATTCCGGGAGTCCAGTGTTAGGATCAAATCCCTTTCCCTGTTCACTGGGGCAAATCTGAGTCTTGTCTGTTCATGTGAGTAGAGATCTCAAAGAGGAACAAAAGGATGTTTCTGTCATTAAGGAAGAGCTTCTCTAAGGACAGAATGACAGGAAGAGGTTTTCTACCAGCCAGCTGGAAAGTAAAATTGTAGAATGAAGCCTGAAGCTTTCCGCAGAGTAAATTGGTGGTGGCCACTCCATGCGGTACTCCCCCTTTCCCCGAGTCCCTAGACTCCCCTCTAGGGATGGCCCTGGAGCTTGCAAGCAAATTCATTATACAATGTAGTTTCTCTGAAGCGTTAACTATCCTTTTGGGGTAACTTAGGTATTTTTAAAGGGTACTGTTTGTTGCCAGGAAAGGCAGAGCAGTTGGGGTTCAAACAGGATAGAGAAGATGTTTCTCCATCTGAGAGTTCTCTGGACACATCATAGCAGAGCCTCTAGATCAAAACAGAGATTGACTGGATTCTGTAATCAAACAAGGATCTGAGCTGGTCACTCTGACTTTGGAGCAAGACTTTGTACCAGTTTGGAGCCCCTCACAAATTTCTCTTCCGTGGAGATGACATTCCTTGAGCTAAGTATTTGGGGCCAGAGACTACACATGTGTCAAGAGCGAATTTGACAGTGCCTTCACCTGGGGGAGTGGTTGGAACCCCTGAGTGTCCGTGATGAGTTCACCTGCATTCCCCTGACATGTTTTGGTCTGAAGTGACTCCCGTCAGTCCCTGCCTCTTCTCTTCCCAGGGATGCCAGCTTTGAGGAGACAGTGGTTGTTTGAAGCCAGCTCTCATGGGTAGAGTTTAGGTCTTTTTGGCCATAGGATTTTGACTTGGGCTTCTGGGTTGTTGGTGACAGTTTCTTCCCTTTCGCCCTTCTTGCCTGGCTGTGTCGTCGGCCTAGCCGTCCACGTGTCCACATCTGTGACCGGGTTCCAGCCAGGCTAATACACACAGCAGAGAAAGAACTTTCGAATGGATGGATCACACGTCTCATCTCAAGACTAGCTTTTTAGGGCTCATTGCTTTATTCAAAGACATTTTCACTGTAGCTCCTTGATACGGGACTCAAGACTAAAGAAATTCACATGTACAAATGCAAATATGTACTGGTTAATCAAAGTAGCATCTTTTATGTAAATATATCAATAAGTTTGGGCGTTGAAGTGTGAACTGTGCAGCTAACACTCTTCTCTCCTCTGCAGTGTGGGTTTAGCCATCATTTCAGTAATGTACATGTTTACAAAAGCAGCTTTGCCACCTCTCTCCTTCAAGAGCAGCCTTCTCTTGTCTCTGGGAAGGAGCGGACTTTCTGACCCGCGTTGAGTGACGGTTACTTTTCGTGGTGTCTGAATGCTCAAGGTTTTCAAAGTTAGGGGGTGGTGTGTCAGAAGCAGGGCTAGGTGTGACAGGAAAGGTCGGGTTCTCTCAGTGGACGTGGGCCCTCTTTCTCGGGACCTGAGGGCTTTGTTGGAAGCCGTCTTTGAGCACGTCTGCGCCCATGCCCTCCTGCAGGCAGACACCTGTGTTTCTGTGGCTTTGTGACTTGATGCTCACCGGTGTTCATGTAAAGGTCATAAGGTGAAAATGAGGTTCTGGTATTTTCCTTTGAATGCTGGGTGGGGCCCTGGGCTCCTTGCAGCTCCACACCCTTCCAGGTGGCCGTGGGGCCTCTCTGTGCGGTCCCCTCACACTCATGCAGGGGGCAGGATGGGTGCCGAGGGGAGTGCACTAGCAAGCCTGGGCCCAGCTGACCCCGAAACAGAACTCCCCCACCCACTCTGTATCCCTTCTGAGAGAGAACGCAAGGACTCCGTCCTTCCCTTGCAGCTTGCTTCCGGGCCGGAAGTCCGGCGCCGCACCCCGGCTGGCGGAGCAGCATGCCCGGTGGTCACTGTCCCCATCCCCCGAGTGTCTCTTGCCTGGACTGTGATAGGAGCCTCTTGTTTCTGAGGTCACCTTTTGGCATTGTTCCTGACTCTGCTCCCTTCCCCCCGCCCCCCACCTTCTCCCCACTTGTGCGGTTAGCAGCCCCACCCAGCGTCCTTTGCCGCCCGCTCTGCTAAGAGGGGAGCTGGGGGGTGAGGTGCCTGGCGGGACTCCCCGTGGTGAAAGCAGGAGCTAGAAGCCACACGGACCTGCTTTTCTGCCGTTGTTGAACAGTTTCCTTAAAACCCTTCTGCTTTTGTTCGGAAGACCTGGTCAGCTGTCTTCTTTCCTGCCTCGTAGGTCCCTAAACTCTGGAGGGGCAGGGATTCCTGAAACAGGGCTGGAAGCCTAGGGAGGAGGAGCTTGACTCATGATCGCCTTCTACTCTGTCAACTGTTGAACCCCAGCGCCCCCCACCCTTACCCCCTTGGGCTTGGTCCTTCCGAGACCTTGAAGCCTGATCCGATGCCGTGCTGTGAGCCACGTGCTCACCTGGAAACACGGCTGACCTGAGACATCTGGGCTGCTGTCATCCCTGAGTCGAGTCCGACAAAAGCCAGGTGGCAAGATGCCTTATGGGGCCAGGAATCTGGGCTTAGGGTTTACTGATGTCTAGCAAAATGTGACAGAGGCCTCTTAAAGTGGGTTTTTTCCCAATTCTGCAGGCTTGGCAGATGGTAATATTCAGCCTTGGAGAACATGTCCAGTTGTGCTCTGGCTTAGGAGTCTCCTCGGGAGTCAGAAACGGCAGGATTTCTCTCTTATGAGAAACTAAAATGTGCGCCAATTAGTTTAGCATCAGTGATGGCTTTAATCACGGGAAGCACTGCTTGGGCCTGGTGTGGATCTGTCCAGGGCGCCACCTGGGGCCTCGTCCAGTCCTCCGTCGGGACAGCCGTGAGCTAGAAGGCACCTGCCCCCCACAGCTGCCACCCAGCATGGCAGCTCTTCCGTTTGGCTCCTGGTGCTGAATTCATGGATCGTGATCGCAGTCATTGAGCCCAGAATCTGCATCTCAAACTTACCTTGTTTTGTTCCCCATGAACATCAAGATGGGAATTTCCAGAGTAGCACAGGGCACAGACCTGTGCAGACTCATTTGTCAGCGTAACTACCTGGTATTTTAGGGAGAAGATAAAGATAAGTCATAGCTGGGTTTTCATTCTGGTGGCTACGAGGATGAACTTGCTATTTGTCTTGATACACTGAAAGCCCTTCCGATACAATAAAAATATGACATTATTCAGGGCCCTTAGGGAACCTTCTGTAAAGGGCAGTCATGAATTAAATTCTTAATGGTAGGACAGCAGCCCTCTGGGAAGAGGCAGGGACCTCAGGGACCTTTTTTTCTTTTTCTTTTTTCTAAAACTGTATAGCCCAAGCAATGGATTAAGATACTTTCTCCAAGTCCCTGGACAGATCAGACTTGTAGAAGTAAGGGCACAGTAAGGTGCTGAATAAATGACAAGGCAATGGTCAGCCAGACTGTGAACTTGGCTTCGTTAGGATATCCATTCTGAACTAGGCAAGAAAGTGAACATGGGGACCAACGTATCACATGGGGGCTTTCACCTCCTTGTCCAGTTCCTTGCTAGCAGGCTCGGAATCCATGAGGGCCAGCCCAAGGATCTTCCTGCCGCACCTCTCGGTCCTACTTCCTGCCCTGCAGCAAGGCTCCCTGACCTGTCCCTTCTCATTTCAGGAAAACCGTTTTCTGATTCAGGTAGGGGAAGAGGAGGAGTCAAGGGCTCCTTACTCCTGAGTCGTGGATTTTTGGGATTCCATTGTAAGACTCATATACCTCTCTCTTCCCAGGAGCTGCTAGGGCACCGCCTATTGGGAGAAAGGCCAACTGTGAATTAAGTTCATGTTTTTCTTATAAGAAATGGGAGTTTATTTTTCTATCGATATTACTATGTGATGAATGGAGCGTGCAGATGTTGAAGTGGAAGGAGATTTCCAAACTATAAGCCTTGAAAAAATGCGAAGTTTTGTAATTTGGAAGCAACTGAGACCCCATAAACATTTTAGTATTTGTTTTCGAGAGTAAGGAGATGGTGCTGTGAAATCTGAACCACACTCTCTAGGAGACGAATGTGATGGTCTGGGGGAGCATGACACGGTCCCCGACCTTAGGGAAAATTCTTGTACAGTGTGTAAACGTGAGAATGCTGATTAGGGAGCCTCTTACTAGAGTGGTGTGGTTTTATAACCTGGCACTTTAATTCTTTTCTGGAGCCAGAATACAGGGGCAGTTGGATGAAACTGCACATTTAGAAAGGAAGTGAAAATTTCCTAGTGCTTATAAATGAAGATGGGGAAATAAAGCCCTTTAGAGTTATTCTAGAAGCCCAGCAAAACATGGGCTTTTAGTGCTAACATAACTTCAGTTCAGAAAATTTATTTACTTACCACGGGAGAAGGATAGGTGTGATTTACTTACGTTGGTTTTAGAATGCAGGTTTAGACTAACAATACATTTACTCTGCTTTTTTGAGGACAGGTAGGGAACACAGGGGTAGGTTAGGGCCTTAGAAATTAGCCAGGGATTATCCACAAAATGAAAAATCCACACAGTGGTCACTGAGTTAGCTGGTTGCAAATACACTTCGTTGCTGTTGGAGTGAAAACTTCCTTAGGCCAAATTGAGCGAAGATAAAAGCAGACAAAAATTCTGAAGGTGGTATCCGGAAGAGTTTGTAGAGGGTGCCCGCAAAGACCATCATTAGGAAGAGTATAGAGTCTGTGCTTTCGAACAGACTGGGCAGGAGACTTCAGAGGTATAGAGTAGAGGAAAGCAAAATTAACCTCCTATCTACCCGAGCTTATTGGCTAAAATTTATTTGTTGTAGGCCTGGGATAGAAACCTTTTCTGAAAAAAGGAATACTTGTAGCCTTGGAAAAATGGTTTTCCTCTTTCTCCCCAGTTAGGATCAGCATAGCCTCCCTGTCGCCTTAAGTGTCAAACCCCTACTTGGATTAATACCCCAGCGTAAGACTTAGAGCAATAGGAGACACTGAATCTATTTTTGTTTAAATTCGTTACCTCATAGTATGAAATTAGTAAGACAGTTGATCATTTTACCCTGAATACTAGTGCATAGAAGTATGTTGTTCTGTTTCAAATGGTAAGAATTTTAAGGGCCTGAAGCTAGGAGTAAATGTTTAACTGATTCTGTTCTGTGGTACCAGTGACATGTGCGTGTACCCTATCTGTAGATATCTGAACCAGGCTGCGTGCAGAGAGGCTGATATAACTATATTTACAGAATACAGTTTTTACAATTAAAATTCAGATTTTAACATGAACGTGTCTGCTGCAGTCCTTCTCCGGCCTGAGAGAGGGGTTTGTGGTAGGCAGGAGGGGCGGCCCGCTGGAGGAGCAGGACCCGAACGCGGATGGCCCGGTGACAACAGCGCCCACTGGCGAGTCTGGGGCCCTTTCTCCGAGAGGCCACGGTCCGCGTAAACCACCTCCAGGTAATGGGAACCAGAGCTGGCCCTGACCACACCATACAGGAGGGAGCCCTGCACACACATAGCCACACGCTCAAGTTTTATTTCATTTTTAACCTTTTGGGGAGTTCTTTTAAGGCAATACAGGGTGGATTCCTGATGTCATTGGCGCTTGTGTTCAAAGCCAGGTTCCTCCTTTCCAAGGTCTGTAACCCCCCATCTGACGTCCCCTACTTGCTAGGGCTGGGGTGAGAACCGAGGGAAGTCCTTGCGTGTGTAAAGAAGGCCCCGGCACGTCGTCACTATGGCTGTGTGTGCGGACCAGCCATGGGGCTCAGCCAGCAGCTTGTGACCTGGAAGACATCTGCTGGGGTTTTAGTGGAAATCATCCTAGCTTCTGAGTAAAGCCTTAGCCAACGGTTTCTGTATACAGGAGGTGGTCAGGGCTCTCCTCCACGCCTGCCTTCAGGGCCGGGCTGCCAAGGCTCTCTCTGAGCTGTACTGCACGTGTCCTTCCATGGACGCCGCGCGCCAGGACCAGGGCAAGAGCAAGGCCGTAAAGGAGAAGGAAGAATGTTCTCACAGGAAATAGCCTGAAGCAAGAAAGCAAAATTCCCACCAGGGATCACGGATTTCAAAAGGACTAAGAATATTAATCTCTTAAATATCCTTCCCTGATCTTATGTCCCGCGGTTTCACTGGACGGATCAGAACCACTAAGTACACACACGTGCTGGCCGCCCGCTGATCAAGGAAGAAGGCAGCCAGCTTGGGCGCCGGTCCTTTACGATCTGTCAGGAAACCGAGATGGTTCGGGACTCGCCTGGCTCCCGGAGAAACTGTCCCCGCAACCCTCTGTGGGCACCAGGGAGTGGGGGCTCCTTTTGCAGGTTGGGACCCACCTGTTTTTGGGCAGCAAAGCACAGCTTTTAACACCTCTGAAGAACAGAGCTGAACAGGTGAGCCTTGTTTTTAGTGATCTTTCTTCATATGCTCTTTGTAGCTGCTTTATAATCCTTTTAAGCATTGGTCTTCATTCTCCAGGGGATTCATATGGTCCGAAAACTGATCTGTCTGGGGAATGAGCTTGTGGCCAAGGCCTGTGAGTTCTGCTTCCCCTTTCCCCCCTTCACTCCATGCTCCCTCTTTAGAAAAAGAAAGGCTCACAGCTCATTCATTCTGGGCACTGCCCTCTGGAGTATGGAAACCTCAGGGGCAACCAAAAACAGGAAAATTCCTGATGGTGGTATTAAAAATGAATGATAAAGGGACTTACAAATCCTTAGCAAATCAGGAACTTTCTAGTTCTCATTCAACAAACAAAAGGAAGATCTAATCAAGCTATTAAGTTAAAAGGGCTGTATGACATGAGAATTCTTTCTCTCCGTCTAACTTAGGTGCTTCGATCTATAAAAAATGAAACAAGGAATATAAATGATGTTGAGTCCTGTTTTAATCTAAGCTATAAATAATGTTCTTGGACTCATTAAGGTAAAGAGCATTCTAAAAGTGTTTTTAATTATCAAAAATTTGCAGTATTGTTTTCATCAGTACAGTTAATCCTGTACCAAGTTAACACTAAAAAATTATTTCCACTTATATTTTTGTTGGCAAGAAAATAGGATAAGTGATAAAATTTCAGGCCTCAAAATAGATTACATTATGGTAGCATTTTTTTGCTGAACACAGAATGGAAATACCAAGGAACCTATTGGTTTATTTTTGTTAATGGAGAGTATCAGATTGCTCTACATTTAAATTGCACCAAATATGTTTAAAAGAGTGATATGACAGTTTTATTTTAAAATAATATTTACATGACAGCAGGAAACACAAACTTTGCCAACTCTTAAGTTGATATCTAGAAGGGGGTACATGATCTTTCAAAATGCTCTTGGGGGTGCGTAAGCATAATAATGGGGGGGTATGCTTTACAACGGTGAACAGGTGAGGTCGGGGACCTCTTGGAGTAGAAGCACCTGGGGGAGGGTGCCTGCTCTTTACAAATGCAGATTCCTGGGCTCCACTCCCAGACTGAGTGACCAGGTTTGGGGTGAGCCCCAAGCCTGTCCATTTTTAACATGCATCCCAGGTGGTTCTCATGCAAACCCATAGTTAAGCACTACTTTAAAAAATAATACAAACTAGCCTTTTACAGTTTCTTAGTGAAGGCTGAAGACAAAAACCCCTCCCCGGTCGTTGGATTGAGTATAGAACTGAAACAAGCTTAATTCGAATCTGAGCTCAGAAAGTAGCAGCACCCGTGGAGAAGCCTAGAAAAAGGACAGTAGTGGAGAGGGCAGGCACCCGCACCCCTCAAGTCCCGGGAGCGAGACGAGGGAGGCCTGGACTGTGGCTGCACGCATGGGGCCCAAGGAGGTCTAGCCCTGTCCCAGCCTGCGCAGGTGGGCCTCTCCGGACCCCGGACCCCGTGGGGCAAACCACGGGAGGAGGGAGCAGGGGCGCAGCGAAGGCTGAGCATGCGCTAGCGGGAAGCTCGGAGTAGGGGAAGCGCTGCGAGGGCAGGGTAGGCTTCTGGTCCCATCAATGGCCTAAAGTGCAGCGTGGGGGTGGCCGGCTCCCCACCTTGGTGGCTCACGGGGCCGCGCTGGGCAGTATCTGTTCCCGCTTCCTGGGATCGCAGAAGAACCGCAGCTTCCTGGGGAGCAGCTTCACCTCCACAGGCATCGCCTCGTACTCCTCGCTGTCGATGCTGAAAGAGCCCCCGGTTCCCTGTGGAGAGGAGGAGATGGGTCGGCTTCTATTGCCCCCCAGAGTATTGGGGGACTTGAGAAACAAGGCCATGAGTTAAAAATATTTACTAAAATACAGGGATCCTGCCACACCTTCCAGGAATTCCTAAAATACAATGTTCTAGGACCTTCTCAGCCCTCAGCTTAGGAAAGCCGTGATGTCTGCTTGTTATTTTCATGGTTCTTCTTTAGGACTTACTAGGCTTTATCCCTCAAGTACAGCAACATTAATGTTACAGATTCTGTAAAACCTTCCCTAATTCATGCATTTAGTTCAACAGTGGCTATGTTGAAATGACAGTGCCACCCACTGTGGGGAACAGCATCTGTTTTACCTACAATCCTTTCTGAATACCGTGGGATGACGGGCCCCGAGTGTGCAGACGCCATCTGCGGGAACTTCCTCCTGAGCTATGACTTCTAGGATGACTACACAATTTAGACTACATTCCTAACATTTTCCCCACTTATATAAGGTATTCCAAGCTCAGCATTTTCTAATACAGGAGACCTCAGTGCCATCCCAAAAACTGTTTCCAGGTCCTTTATTTAAAAAAAAAAAAAAAAAAGTGAAGGTAGGCTCTGCTATGAGTATCTGCCAACTAGAGAATTCTGTGTCTTAAAGCACAGTAACTCCTGCATAATGGACATGCAGGAAAATAAAGGCCATGGGGTGTAAAGATCACCTTACAGAACCGTGCTGACCCATGCTGGAAGTCTTCAGGAGTCCCCAGCTCAGCCCCAGATTCCAAAGGGCGTCCCCTCCTCTCAAGTATCCCCTAACGTCACCCAGAGCCTGGCCAAGTGCTCAGCCCATACTAGGCAACCAGACATGAGGGTCTGTTTCTAGAAAGGAAGACGGGCGGCCCCGCTCACCTCGGGAAGCAGCAGAGTGCACTGGCTGGCCTGGAGACACTCGGTGCCAGCCGCACGCAGCCCGGGGTCCCGCACCTTTCTGCTTCTGTCGATACAGGAGAAAGCATGTTCAGACACCAGGCTGGCGACTGCATGCGACCCCAAGAGCGTAGCGAGCTCCTTTGTTGAGCTTAAACAGATGGACTCATGCTATGCTGAACCATGGGATTCTGTGAATAACTTTCCCACGATGATTCTTGCTTAGCAGCGTGATAGGTATTCCCGAGTAAGGAGCTTAACCTGCTGTAGAGAATGCGTGTGAAGTTAAGACTGAGTGATTCTGTACCTAATTCTTGGGTCATTAAAAATCCTGAATTTAGAAATTAGACTGAAATGAAATTTTTTTTAGGTAAAGTACTAAACTTGTCTTAGCTGGTACTTGTGAGTCTATCATTACTTGAAGGAGGAAACATTTTTTAAAGTAGACAAGTAGACATTTCATATATATGATTCTCTATAGTCATATTAACAGTCTGCTTAGCATATTACTATCTCTGCCTTATAGGAAACCTATCAGACCACACACACACACCCTCTCTCTCTCTCCTCATGCACACATATCCCTGTGAGCCAGTCGTGGTCAACGGGAAGAGGAAAAGCTAATCCAAGTAAATCAGTCCATTCTTTATCATTAAATGATAACATTAATTCTTTAGTATATGAAACTTCAGTTTTCTAGAGTAACCTCACAATGTTCTAGTCCCATACGGAGAGGAAACAGTACTCAAGCCCACTTCCTGTAGAGACCAAAGGAAGCCGTGTTCCTGCTGCCGAAGATGAGGACAGCGGTGGTGCAGAACATCTGACTTCACCTGCATCGAGCAATAGGATCGGTTCTCTATTTTGGGATGTCAGTTTTATGGAGGAGATTTGAGTACAGCAGGCCCTGTGGGCCAGACTCTCAATTAAGTCAGTGTGTGGCTTCTAGACACTCTCTAGGAGAAGGGAAAGGTTTCCCTTTCTTCCTTCTACTACAGATACAGCGAGGAAATCAAAGGCTGCAGAATCAGCTCTTCAGCATCTGAAGAATTTGTACCAAAGGCAAGAACACGACAAAGACATTCTGCCGAGGGTGCTGGTGCGGACAATGGAGTAGCCGTGGAGACCGGGCTAGGGCGGCAGCGATGTCTGCTCCTTCCGTGGGCACAAGAGGGAGCTCGGAGACAAAGCAGCGCGCGGCCATCGCTGAGCAGATTCCCAAGGTGCCATGGCAACCTGTGGGCTCCGAGGCTGTGCTGAAGCAGCCGGGTGGGGGTTAGAGCATTCTTAACCAATAAACCTCCGGCAGAGGTCGGGCTTCACAAATCAGGACTGGGGGATATTTTTTTAGTGGAAAAGGGGAAAAGCTGGGAGATTGTGCAAAGTGCTCCATACCTCCACGGGTTTTCCATTACTGCCCTGGAAGAAGGACAAGGTTAGGTGAGGTGCTTCCCTGGCAGAAAGACTTTCCCACACGTCCTCTCATTTGAGACTCCGAAGCAAGCCTGAGGTAGTTGAGGTGATCACGGTATTCTGTTCCACAGAGGAAAGGAGCCAGAGAATTTACCGACCTGTCCCAGTCGTGAGGCCAGGATGTGGCAGGACCGAGATTTGTAGCCAGCAACTCTGACCCTGAGCCAAGGTTTTGGACACTGGGCCGTGCTCCCAGGAATCCTTCATCTCCCTGGAAAGGCAGCCTGCCCCTACACTCTGATTTTCCCAAAACCGGGAAGGCCGAAGTAGGAGAGGTACGTCCTACATGTCAACCCAAACACTTGAAGGAAAGAGGCTACACGGTCCCCAACCCACATAAGTCCTCCGCTGGGTCTGCGACTTCATGGGGATCTGCACAGTAGGTGCTAGAATACGAACTACTCAGCGCACGTTTCCTACAAACCACAGCCCACTTACCCTATGGTTATGAAGTCTCCTTTGCTGACCGTGTCGGGCTCAATGCAGATGTTCATGAAGTCTTCCTGGCTCTGCAAGGTCAAGGAAACTGACATTAACACTCTCCATTCTGGCTAACGCAGCCTGTTGTCCTCCTTCAGCCTTCATATCTCAAAGCTATTTATTATATAGAGACCTTCACTTTTAGTAACTTAATCCTGAAAATGTGTATGTATTTTTTTTAACATTAAGACCCTTACTGAAGTACAATTTACATACCATAAAACTCCTCCCTACCCAGATAAGCTAAAAAAAAACTCAGGTTTGTAAGAACTCAAGAGTAGGAGGTTTGGGAAGGTCTGACACTAACCATCACAGCTGTTGTGGTCTCTGGGGTCCCCTCCCCGTGGGTCAAGTTCCAGCCCATCTACCCCAGCCGGCCTCCCTCTTCACTGTGCGTCAGGATCGCATCACACCCGCGGGATCAGCTTCTTGCTATGCAGAGTCCAAGTGTATGCGGGTTTTTTGTTTTTTTAAAGATCTATTTATTTGAAGAGAGAGTGTGTGTGCAAGTGAGGGGAGGGGCAGAGGGAAAGAATCTTCAAGCCGACTCCCCACTGAGCGCAGAGCCTGACATGAGGCTAGATCCCGTGACCCAGGAGATCAAAACCTGAGCCGAAACCAAGAGTAAGATGCTTCAAGGATTCACCCTGGTGCCCCCCAAGTGTGTGTTTTCAAATGTGCTATTTGCAGTTTTGATATGCAACCAGAGGCAAAGAGCAGCAGTCCCTTTCTGCCATGGTGATAGTTTAAAGACTTCTCATTACCACCCAGCAAAAGGTCTGGAAGAACTGAGCTCCAAGGCAGTGGCTATAAATCCAGACCTGGTTCTTGGGCCACTCCCCCCAGTTCTCTCCCAGTCAGTGGCTAGCAGCTCGAACCGGGCTCTACATCAGAACCCACACTTCTGTGCCTGCTTCAAACACAGGTATTGTTTCTTCTTGGACAGGTTCAAAATCTGTTGCCCCAGGATAATCCATGAGCTGCTGGGAGCAGACAGCCTCTGCCTAAGATTAAAGAGCACCACCGAAGCACAGCTTTCTCTCTCGCCTGGGAATTACAGAACACCGAGGCGATGACTCGGCTCTCAGCTCACCTTTTATGCAACAACTTAGTGTTGACTACCATAAATTCTTCTAGGTGCTTGGGTTACTCCAATGAACTGAAAAACCAAGTATTTCTGCTTACCAAGAATTTGTCTTCTACTGGGGAGTGGAGGGAATAAACCAAAAAATAAAACCTAACCATAAAGTAACGAGTTGCAGGATATATTAGAAGCATGTTAGAAGCACAGAAATAGTAAATTATAGAGAGAAACAATTGGTAAATTATAAAGTATATTAGAACATAAGTATATTAGAAGTATATGAGCATTTATTAGAAAAATGACAGGAAAAAAAAAAACACAAGAAACACCAGATGGTGTGAGTGGTAGGAGTGACATTTTTAAAGACAGTCTGGGTGAGCCTCATGGAGAAACAGCTCTGAGCAGACGGGAAGGAGGTGAGAGAATGAGCAAGGTGGGTACCCAGGCCTGTGGTTCTCCAACGTGAGCAAGTATCACCTGGAGGGCCTGTTAAAACTCAGAGCCCGGCCCCGTGCTCAGAGCTGATGGCTCAGCAGATCTGGGGTGAGTGAGGCCCAAGAATGTCCATTTCTAACAAGTTCCCAAGGACTAAAACCACTGGCCTGGGGAAGGGCTGCGCGGAGGAAGCGCGCCCGACACAGGAATGAACGGCAAGGAAGCCGGGGAGGCCAGAGCAGAGGGAGAGGAGGCGACGTTGGGAGACGAAGTCAGAGCAGAGGGAGGCCCGAGCCCGAGGGTCTGTAGACCACAAGGCTGTGAGGCTGAGTGAAATGAGGAGCCGGGAGAAGATTCCAAGCAGAGAAAATATGATCTGGCTCCATTTCAACAGGACCTCTCCGGCTGCTGTAGTCCGAGAATGGGGGGGAGGGGGTGCCGCATTCAGGAATCCATGCAGTCACCCAGCTAAAAGACATCGGTGGCCTGGAACAGTTAGCGGGGCGTTGTGCTAAGCACGGGCAGTATCTAGAAGCCAAGATTAGACGTGAGGCGGGCCAGGGCAGCTCCAAGAGGTCTGGCCTGAACAAATAAATGCATGCACGGAAGACAGCCAGCAGCCGAGGGGCAGACTGGAGGGAGCTCGGCTGCCGACGGGTGGAAGGGAAGGCGGGCCGTTCAGGGTGGGGCATCAGAGACTGAAAGGCGTGTTCGCCGCCGGAGAAGGTGAGTAGACAACTGTACACGAAGTCTAGTGCATAGTCCAAGAGCAGAAATCCACGGATACGGACTGACCTACATGACACGACTATCTCAAAAGATGCTAGAAAGAAACTTGATAAAATTAAATATCCATTCATGATAAAACTCTTCAGAGATTAGGAACAGAAGGAAACTTCCTTATTCTTATAAATGGTATCTGTAAAAAAATCCCACCAAACTCAAGAACATAGCAATGAAACCACACATATATATACATACATACATATATATATGTTACATATATATGTGGTTTTATTTATTTGTCAGAGAGAGAGCAAGCGAGCACAAGCAGGGGGAGCAGCAGGCAGTGGGAGAAGCCGGCTCCCCGCTGAGCAAGGAGCCCAATGCGGGATCATGACCTGAGTCAAAGGCAGATGCTTAACCCACTGAGCCACCGGGGGGCCCCACACTGAAACCAGCAGGAGTCCGTCAACAATGCTGCTATTGCTACTCCTACTGAACACTGGACTGAGGTCCTGACCAAGGCAGTAAGGTGAGAGAAAAGATTAGAAGGCTAAGTATTTGAAAGGAAAAACAAAACTTGCACTATTTGCAACTGATATGACTGAATCTATACAAAATCCAAAGGAATCCATAAATTAGTAAGAATTTAGTTATAAGGTTGTTGATTCAGTATCCGTATTAAAAAAGTCAATTACATATCCATCTAAATCAAATATTTAAAAACAAAATTTTAAGGGATACCATCTATAATCCTATCAAAAATTAAAACAACCAGGAACATATCCAGCATATCCATAAAACCTCCCTGGAAGGCATTACCAGCCTAATGAAGAGCTATGTCACGTTCATACAACAGAAGAGTCAATATTAGAGAAGTGTCATTTTTCCTACAATTGATCTACACGTTCAGTGTAATCCTGTGATCAATATAACAGATTTTTTTAAAGATTTTATTTATTTAACAGAGAGAGATCACAAGTAGGCAGGGCGAGTGGGGGAAAGCAGTTTCCCCGGTGAGCAGAAAGCCCGATGCGGGGCTCAATCCCAGGACCCTGAGACCATGACCTGAGCTGAAGGCAAACGCTTAAACCCACGGAGCCACCCAGGCACCCCAAATAACAGATTTTTATATGGAGCTTCATAAAATAAACCTTCTAAGGGATTTATAGAGGCCAAAGAGCCAAGAATAGCCAAAGAGACTCTTAAAGAAGAAAAACAGAGGGGACTCATTGTAAAACAAAGATAATCAAAAGTAGCACAGTACTAATACAGGTTTAGACAAACGGAGCAACTGAAGAGAGAACCTACAAAACCATCCAAGGGACACCAGCTCTCACTGTAGAATAGGGGCTGGCTTCAGTAAACGGTGCTTGGACAAGTGGCTTTCTCTGGGCTAAGATTATAAAATTGGAGCCTTACCTCCATGGTTCACAAAACACAATTATAGGTGTAAGTGTTTCTCTTTAAAGAAAAAGAGAATCATGTGATGCATATCATACCAGCCTGGGTTTTAACAATATATGATGAGTATCTTTCCGTGTCACTAAAGAGAGAACGTCTTAAATAAATGTACCAGAATGGATTTCATCAGTCCCCCCGTTCATTTGTTTCACGTATTTTGCTATTATAAATACAGTGAACAGAGCTGTACAAGAGATCCTAATTTTCACACATTCCACACCCCTTAAAGCCTCTTTGACTCTGAATGTACTTTTATAAATGATAGACGAGTTTGGAGCTATCACATGGCAGCTTCATTGTCTTTGAATATTTTATTGCATTTGCTTTTATTTTTAAAGAGGTGTGGAAACAGAAAACAAATGTGCTGCTCCTTGTGATAAGCAACACAGAATCTTACGCTCTCATAATTGGCACCAAGATTAAAAGCGCTCGTCACTCTGCATGTGGCTAATCTGGGGCCACAATCACAGCCTGGACCCAACTCCATCCGTTCATTGGTATTCCATCATCAGAGAAAAGAGCCACGTTAAACAGCAAGAACAAAATACTAGAAATACCTATTATCAGAGACAAGGTATAAAAGCAATGTATAATCAGAAATTTTATCTTTCTTTTTGAAATTCCTCTAGCATAGAATCTGTTGTTTTCAACCTTAATACCTCCATTTTCACCAGTCTTTGCTGAATTCCATTATGTAAGAAATAAGGGAATGGCTACACTATGTCTGAGTATGCATCTGATTATTCCTGTAGGACAAACTCCTAGAAATAGAAGCACACCCTTGGCCCTAGTAAGTCTTTTTTAGATGCTTTGGAGAGACCAGCAAGACACCGAGAAAGGGCATCGCGATTTACAGATTCAGCAGGACTGCATGAGAGCCCATTTCCCCATGCACACCAACACGGCACAACCCAGCATGCTTAATTTAGGACATTACATTGTTCTTTTAAATTTGCATTTCTTCGATTTGAACACTTTTCCTGTTTCCTGACCTATTACACTCATATAAAAGTTATGTCTCCCTGGTAATGTAGTTATAAGAATTACAGGAGTTGACACGATGTAAAATTCTCAGGGCAGTGCCTGGCAGAAAGGACGTATTCAGCAAATAGAAGCTATTTTTCCAAGTTTATGTTCTTTGTGAATTTCTGTTTTTGCCCGTGCCTGTTACTTAAAGGAGTCCTTTGCCTACTTCTTAAGAGTTTATTGGGGGGCTTGGCGGGCTCTGAGCCAGTATATCTTTTCCCAGATACCAAAGGCTTTGCTAAGAATAAAGGCCCGCTTACCGTAAGGAAAGCTATTAACTCCTGCTCTAGCACGATCTTTTTCCCAATTTGTCATTAAAGTTTTTGTTTCTAGTTTCTTCCATTTTAAGTAGACAAATGCATCAATGTGATTTTCGCCTTAGACGCCATGCTTAGAAAGGCCTGGTCCTCCCCACATTGATACTGATAATCACCTCCATTTCACTCTATGCTTCATGAATTTCCTAATGTAACTCTTCAGTCCAGCTGGGAGGTGAAGGAAGCTGTGTTATCCACATAAAATATCCTTTCACGAAGGACATGTGTTGCTTTCCTAATTAGAAGACGACTCGCTCCTCCACTAAACAGCAGGGTCAGACTCCTGGGCACATGCGCACGTTCATCACCACGTTCAAGTGCACCTGCAGCTTCCAGACAGACCAGGTCAAGTGTGCGCGGCTACGTGGATCTGCATAAAACCCAACGTCATAATGCGTCCACGGGTCAGGGTAGCTTTCCTATTAGCATTCTCGCGAATACAAACTACTCGGGTTTCTTCTACAGCACAGGTCAGGAAACTCTGGACGGCCACGGAGTCGGAGGCGACGACCGACTCTGCCGTCAGGGCACGAAAGCAGCCCCAGACAGCGTGCAGGTGAGTGAATGTGGCTGTTCCAATCAGGCTTTTCTCATGGATATTGAAACCTGATTTCGTATTCTCTCCGCGTATCACAAAATACTCTCTTGATTTTCTCACAGCCATTTAAAAACGGAACGTCAATTCTTAGTTTGTGTGCCACCTAACAAAAATAGGGGGCAGACCAGTTTTGTCAACCTCTGCTGTATTTCAACATTTTTTAGCATCTGGTCAACAGGCGCACCATCCAGACCTTTCTGCACTGACGGCAGCGTCTTGTATCTGTGATGGCAACTGTTTCCCAGTGCGGCAGCTGCTTGCCACATACGGCTAATGGGCACCTGAAGTGAGTGCTAGATTTTATCTGACTCAAAGAGCCACAGGTCTAGCAGCCACCGTACTGCACCGTGCGTGTCAGCAGAGTGGACTCTATGTATATGAGTGTGTGTATTTTTTTTTCTCCTGGGGACCTAAATCCATGTATTTAATATAGTCACAAAAATAGTGGTATTCACTCAAGTAAAAGTTCCACAATTTTTTATTCCTGAGACAAAAGGGAGCAGGCTAACTTTTTGTTTCTAAAGGTCTTCTGCCCTCAAGTCTCAGAAAGCCTGACGGCTACGAAGCAGGGCCCAGAATACTGGCTCAGAGCCCGCCAAGTTTAAACCTCCCGCCTCACTCCACTGTTTCTTCCCACTGCTATTATTCCTTAAAACCACACCATACACTCTTTCCCCTGATCCTTTCTTCTCTCCCCAAAAAGGCTAAAATAAAAATACCCAGTTAGTGGAAGGGCAGGTGGCCTTTGCCACTTTTCCCAGATACCAAAGGCTTTGCTAATAAAGACCCACTCACCGTCAGGTCAAGGTGACTGTTCCGCGTCGTGATGGACAGTTCGATGGTGGACAGCTGCACTTCTTTCCAGACGTTGGGGCTCACCTCTTGGGAAAGGGCTGTGTGGGGGTATTAGATTCGGGTCAGTTTCTTCCGCTAACATTTCCCCACTCCCCCACAATGGCGAGCTGCCGGCGCTCAGCCTGGCCACCCAAGCCCGCCTGCGGACTCTGCCTCGGTTTGATTTATCGCCTAGCTTCTCACACACAGGAGGAGGAGCCAGGCTCCCAGTTAAGCCTCTATACCCAAACATCCCTGCCAAAGCCAACATGATGACATAAAGGTCAATGCCAGCAAGAGGGAGCCATGATCTGTCACCAGTGACGCAGGCTGTTCCCATGCATCGGACAGTGCTGGTTTGGGTCCCGCTCTGTGGCACAGTGGCCCTTGAAAGGCCTCTCCTGCATGAGGCAAGTGGCTCACATGGATCTGGGGGCCCAAACCAACCTGGGCTCTGCACCCAGCATGCGACTCACCATCCTGCGGCTGCGCCCAGTAGGACGCGAGCCTACGTAATATTCTCCTGTACAAAGAGGGCCGAAGAGGGTTCTCTTCTGCTGCACTGGGAGGTCTCACTGTAGGTCCCGTGTACGAGATGGACGCTTGATGTGTCTGAGGCCACTCCTTTTAATGTGAAGAGAGAAAAACTTGTCATGCACACCGAAGTCCAAACTTGGAGGAGCTCTGCAAAGGTTAGTCATCCACCTATGCCTGCCTGCAAGCGAATTAATCATCTCATGGAATGGAATTAGCTCTACTCTGGAGCATGGACTCCTCAGTTTCTTTTCCTACTAAAGGCCAGTCTTGAAAACCAGGAACTGGGTGACGGCTGCCTTCACTGCTCTCACACACACAGAGCAGAGAAGTCCAAGTAGACTAACCACTGTTTATACTTGTCAAAAAAAAAAAAAAAATCAGTATGAATGAAGAGAGAATCATTCCATAATAAATTTATCTTTGGTTTATAGATGGTGACACAAAAATGAAATGCATCAAATACCTTCTTCCTTCCGGAATCCTATTCCACTCGGAGCCCAGAATGGCTTAGGCTAGCCTCGTGATCGAGCCAAGGCTTCAAAGACCACCATTCTCCGACTCTAGATTGTCTGTCTTCTACTTCTTGATATCCCAATCCAGTCTCATCAGTATCCACAGGAATAATTAAAATACCCCCTGGTCACTCAGCCCCTGATGTGCTCTCTAACCCCCCAGCCACATCCTGGTCCTTCCTGTTACCCAGAACTATTCCATCCTGGAAATCTAAAAGCTTGATGCCCTACTCTCTAACCACGTCCCATATTCTTCTGTTCTTCTGACTGATTCTTTTGTGTTCAGTATGTCTCTCAGGGTGACCCACTCCCCTGTTCTCAGGTTTCCATGTGGTGAATGACAAAGGAGTAACAATTCTGGCTCCTCTCTCTTTCCCCCAAAGTGGCTGTCCTGGGGACTCACTACTTCCTCATGCAGTTGGCTTCCTATGGCAGCGTCTGCCCTAAAGGAGACGTTTTAAAGGGATGAATTCAATTCAGAGTATCTGGAAATCTGTGACCGCATTATCTAAGCTATGTCCTTTAGTCCTGCTGACATTTAGAAAGCTGGTATTTTGATCTCCATCTGCCTGGTTCCTGCATTTTTTTTCATAACTTGATTCAAACTCAGAAGAGTAAGAGAGGGGTGTTATATTTTGGTCCCTGAAGATCCAACCCCACACCAAATTTCCAATCCCACTGAGAATTCCAGTCCCTGACCACACCATTCTCCTTCAGTGCCTAATTAAGAGCTGATTACCTTAAGTCACTCTTTTTCCCATCACTGTTGGTCCTCCTGTGTCTTTGGTGTTGCATCATGTGCCCTGAAAAGCCCCTATTCTGGATCAATCCTGTCACTAGCTATCTGTATTGCACATCGTGGCCCATGTTATTAGAGGGGCAACCAATATTCCAGGTCAGTACACCTGTGCCACGACAAATTCTTGGTCTCGGGTTTTCAGTACCACTCGATAATCCTTCCAAAGCTCCCTATTTTCATCTCTCTTCAAATCCCCCACCACTACCACCCACCTCATTTTCAACAGATCACCTTGCTCCCCATGCTTCAGTGAGACCATCAGGACGTCAGGGAGAACTGCCTAACATTCTATAAATTTGTTTGCACCTGGACCTCTGTTCTAGTCTTCTCCTTTCTCCAGAAAAAAGGCACCCTTGTCCAAGGCTGACCCAGCACTGTGGGCCCCACGCCCTCCCCGCTGCGCCCCGGCTCTGCCGACTCAGTCTTGCTCTGCATCTCCTTGTCTCTCACCTCTTTCCTTTCTTCCTGGCTTTTGTTTCAGGGTAGAAAGACAGCCCCCTCTCCAATCAATAAAAACAGCACTCGGCTGACCCCATGTTTCTCACTAGCTTTTGCCTTTTCTATTTCCTTCCTTTCGAAGTGAGGCCTCCTGAAGGAGCGCCCCAGCCCTGCTGTCCGTGCGGCTTAACCTACCTTCATTCCCTAACTTCCGTGGAGGGGGCTCAGCCCCTCTACTTGGGAGGTGAGCAAACCTTCAGAGGCTGCTGAGTGCAGCGGGCACCTTCCCGCCCTGATTTAGACTCTGTGCTGCCGCTTCGTGACGCTCCGGCTCCCGCTGGCTAGCAGGTCTCTCTCACGGGGACCGGCCCTTCCCCTCAGGCTTCACGGGCAGCTCTGTGGCTCTTCAAATGCTTCCATTCCTCCGGGCTATCCCTGGCCTGTCTGCACCATGTGCCAAACTGAAAATTGCATCTTTCTTCGCACACGCGATCCTATTCTAACCTTGTCAGTGTTCATGAAAAACTCTAGACTGCAAACTAGTCCGGACCTCATCACCTCTCCCCTGGCTTACTTGAACAACCTTCTCTCTGGTGCTCTTGCCTTAAACACCCACAAGCCACCTCTTGTCTACACTGCTGACAAATAACTTTTCTGAAATGCAGATCCGCTCATGTCTCTCCCCTGCTTAAAACTCAGTAATTCCCCAACAGGTCAAAGTCGGCTGCCACAGCCCAACCTGCGACCACCTCCCTTCCCACCCCTCGAACCCCCCTTCCTGCCTTTCTGTTGTCCTGGCCACGTGACATCACGGCCACTTCACACATCCTGGCTCCTCCACCTGGAATGCCCTCTATGTAGTCCTGTGTAGATTCAAACTTGAGTAGAAGTGTTCCCTGCCCTGGGAAGGCTGCTGCCCCTGAGGCAGATACGAATGCCCCCTCCCCCAAGCAACTGCTCCCACCTTATCTTTCCATAGGCTCTCCCAGCACTTGCCACGCCCCTGCTTTACTGGTCCCTCACGCTCCCCAAACATGGATCCTCCTTGAGGGCAGGAACGTGCCTTACCTGACTTTGTATTCCAAGTAGATAGCAGGGCTGTCCACATTAGATATTTAATAACCGTTTGCTGAAGAAATGCTGGGAAGAGTTTACATTCTCCCTGACGTGACAGCTTACACACACAGCCACTCTGCTCTCCCAAACGGCACCCCCACTCCACCACTGAAATTATGCCCTTAAGCAAGAGTAACAATGCATTTTACTAAAACGGTGTGGGGCATTGCCCTCCAAGTTCATGCTCATAATCATGTAAACTGGCCACCCCTAGTACTTAGGGGTTTTGATTTTTACATTTCTTTAACACAACAAGAATTTATTTAGAAGATAAAGGGAGCTATGTTTTCCAAATGTTTTGCAATGGACATGCATCACTTTTACAATTAGAAAAACGCTTGACGCTCTGAATATTAACATCAGAACCAATATTTTCAAAACAAACTTGATCTGCCAATTTTCAGACTGACTTGCCAACTTTTGAACATACTGCTTTGATTTGCATAAAAGCTGAACACAGGATGTCATCCACAGATAAGGATGACTTTGCTATTAGCATTTTCATTAATATACACCATTCAGCTTTTCTCTTTGACAACATTTGTCAGTGGACAGGCTACAGTAGCAGCGCCCGATGGAATGTTCTCTGATGCTAGAAATATTCCCTATGTGTACTGTTCAAGACAGGAACCACTACCCATATTTTTGCTAGCACAGTTTGAAACCTACTCTATTATACACAAGCCTATTCAATTACATACATTCGGATGCAAATCTCCAGTTCATTTCCAGATACTAATGCAAACACCCTTACAAATAATTGATGAGATATAGGCATTCTACTCCAGGTTTGTCTGGCAAGAGTGAGTGAATAAGCAAAAGGAAGTGGAATATCAAAGAGAAATTAACTACGGGTTTGGTAAGGGAAGGAGCGAGCTGGTAGATGAGGGGTGATGGCTTATGTAACAGGAACGCTTCCTGCATTCGTTTCTGAGTAAATATCCCCCATTTGGAACACGTCATATGTATCTGTAGCAGGGAATTTTTAAAAATCCAAACTGACACATCACAAAGTAACAACAAAATAACACAGGGCAACTTCCTAGACTGGAAATTGCATTTACCTTAAGAGTGCTGAAGAAGTGAGCGGCTTTGGTTTTTAGAGGCCCGAGATACCAGTATCTGAGAACGATCAAGATAAAAACCTGGTTAGAACATTAAGAGAACTCCAAAAGGGCTAGACATCATTCAAGAAGAAGAGTATGTTAAAAGTGCCCCTCCACTGCGGACACCCTGCAGTCACCTCCCGTGTGAGGGGTGGACTATGAATACAACACTCCCAGCTCTGGAGGCCTGGGGATTGTGCTTTAGCAGAAAAAAAGAAGGACAGTTAAGTTTTTCATCTACATTTCAATGTCGTGTCAAGTAGTGCGTAATGAGTTACACAGTGGAGAGACCCTTGCAATTTACAAGAAATACATAATCAGCGTCTCCCTCTCTCAATTCACAGGTATCACTGTAATATATACTCTCAACCACAGAATACAGCAGAGTCTACATTCAAAAGGGCAGTAAGTGGAGGATGATGAAGCCCCAATGAGACACAGATGCTGGGTGGTCTGGTGTGTGACCCACATGCTAAAGTGACTGGATCCTGTCTACCATGTTCTCTTACACACAGACGCGCACACCACTTAAAATCTGTAAATCAGCCTAACTTCACATTACTCGTGTTATGCAGCTTCCAAACGGGAACTGTTAAATCTGGGAACGAAGAGTGTCTACTGCATACTGCTAAATACATAAAAGCTAGTGTCGAGAGAAAGATGCCTAACGGGAATTAGAAAAGTGACATAAAATAGATTCCTCTCTTAAAATTTATCTCTGTCTCCTACCAGCTCATCTTAAGGGCTCCCTATTTGATTCCACTCAATATACATTTATTTAGCATTTACTATGTATATGAAGAAAAAAGAAGTAAAAGCATAAAACTCCTGCCTTTGAAGGCTTATGAGACAATAAAGCCCAAAAAAGTAACAGAAAACAATAAATGGCTGTGTGTGTGTGTGTGTGTGTGTGTGTGTGTATCAGTGCCAACTGATATATAACTATATGGAAATATAACATATGATATACAAATATATATATATATATATATCGTGATTTATTGGTGAGGAGAGTCAAGGGACAAGAAATCACTATGGACTGAAAATCATCAGGGCAACCAGGCTTGCACAAGAGCAAAGTAAGGGCGTGGAATTTAGAAAGATAACTGGTTTAGATTTAGATCCATTAAAGAGGGAAAGAAGTCACTCTAGGCGAGAGGAGTAGCAAAGGCACAGGAAACACTGAGAACAGTAGCCACAGCAAAGACTTAGAAGTAAAGATACGTAACTATGGAATTAGGGTTGATGACGGATCAAGTTGGGCCTTGAATGCCAGAATAAGGGGGTTAGATAGAATCCAATGAGCAATGTGGAGCCATCCTAAGTATTATTCAGGATCATACTGTGATGCTACTAATGAAGACCTTGATCATCTGATTTTTTTCTAAGCTTATGTAATAATTTGTTTCATTTCCCAGCTAGCCAGAGAGAAAGGCATTTTTTCCTAACTATCCATAGTTCCACTCATCTCTACCAATGACAATATGCCTGTACCTAACGGCCAGCTAGGAAATCATTTCTCGCATGCCCACTGTTTCTCCTACGGCACACAGAGGGACTCCATGGAAGGTCCCAGTCGAGGTGTTAGATAATCACCACCAAAATTTTAAAATTCACTGTTCAAAAATCAATCAAAAGAGGGGCAAGTGTGTGAGATCCTCCTAAAGGGGCTGACCTATGCTAGTTGTTGATTAACACATTTCATGAAGCAATTTGTTCTCACCAGACATTTTCAGGGAAAACAAAGTAATTACTCTTGGCGAGTTGCTGGTATTCAAGATCACAGATAAAACATGAAGTGATTTGTTGGGTTGCCTGAGTGGCTCAGTTGGTTACGCATCTGCCTTTGGCTCAGGTCATGATCCCAGGGTCCTAGTATTAAGCCCTGCTGTGGGCTCCCAGTCTGCTGCTCCCTCTGCCCTTACCTCCTCTCCCCACTTCTGCACTCTCATTCGCTCTTATCTCTTTCAAATGAATAAAATTTTTAATAAAATAAAATAGCAGCATATGGTGATTTGTGGAATCAAGGTAATCATGGCCAACTTACAAATAAAAACAATGTGAAATGCTCAACAGCGCAGCATGTAAAACAATACAGCACCTCCCCCTCTGGCATTAGCAGGAATAACAAAGTGAGACAAGTAAGAGAAATTTCCATAAAGAAAGTGTGGCAGGAAAGCTTATGAGGGGCAAGAGGCGTCTTCTTGATAAAAGCTGTGAGACTGATCATAGTTCATTTAAACCATACTAAAATCATAAGCCAACGTTAGAAAACAAAACAAGGTAAAGAGAAAGCACTACCTACCAGACACGGAGTCAGTGCCCCCTCGGGAAGCCTGTGCCTGCACCCCCTCCACTCGGAACAGAACACCCACAGCCGCTTTCCAAGCCAACATTTTCATCCGGCACAGTGAACTCTCCGAACAGAAGTCCACTCCCACGGAAGCCAGCCACAGCCCTCTCCTCACTGCCTCGGACAGGCCCATTTCTTCCAGCTCACAACACAGCCCGGCGTCCGCCTTTCTTTCCGTCTGCAGCCTGTGGTCTCTCGATCCACTAGGCTTTCAACAAGAACACCTCTCAGGGCCAGTCTCCCAGGGCTGGAAAAGCTCCAGGAGGCTGGGCCGCCCGCAGGGCCGGCCCCACAGGCTGCAGGATTCCAGGCAACTCCAGGCCAGCGTGAGCCTGCCCTGTGCTCAGACACCATGGCCGGAGACACAGACGCCGTCGCGGCCGCTTCACTGCCAGCGAGTGTGGAGGAAACGGGAAGCTTCCCTAGCTTTTCTGTGTGTCAGATCTAAACCTCTTTCTTATTCGTAAGTAATTCACCTCCAGGCCCATCCAACTTCATCCTAGATGACCACTGTATATTGAAACAGCAAAGACGGGAGCAGAAAAATAGTTTAAAAAAAATCATCCCCCATCAGTACAGTAATGCTTTACTTGCTAACTTTGACGCCAGCGTCTCTGAAGGATCCCCATCGAAGGCCAGTCACTGCGAACACGGGCTGTTCCTTTTCACCCTGGAAGTTAAGTACATTCATCTTCAGTTACGGATTACAGGTATTTGGAATGCTCTACGGGTAAGTACCCAGCAAATGCTCAGGGCCTACTTTTCCTCAAACCAAATTCTAGAAAGGATGTTCAGCATCTCAGAAACTAACTGAGGACATGAGTAACCACACTGTAAAATGAAATTAATTTTCCTGTAGTAGACCTCGTGAATCTGCGCGCCAGGAACATGTTACCGTACTTCAGACTTAAGTGACAAAGTGGCTGACTACAGTGGCTCTTGGACCAGTCGGTCATTGAGTCGGCCAGAATTTCTCCTCCCTCAGAGAGATGTCCGAGGCAAAGCTAATTTAAGCCTGCATTCTCTTTAGAGGTCCAAGGGCTCTCAAGTCAGAGGAAAATCCTGGTACTCTAGAATGTTTGACCTGAATATCTAAAACTAGAGTCAGGTCTCTGTCATAACAAGTCAGAATAAAAAGTGATTCAGATTTAGTCCAATGCTTTAGGGTAAAATACCGCATATTACAATCAGTGAGTTACTCATAAATCTATGAGTTAAGAAATAGATAGAAAACATGCACAATTGAGCCACTGTCTTTAAGAGCTTGTACTTCATGATGGACCTTCCTTAAAGTATAAATATATGTGTGTGTATATGTGTATGTAGATACAGTTATATAAGTCATAAAAGGTCCTTTTCCCATAGCTCAGAATTACAGCCAAGGCCCGAGACTCTGCCCATATTCTAAACACAGCTGTCACATGTGAGACACACGACTCCCCAGAACTTGCTAAATGGGGGAAGAATCAGTTCGATTTCCATCAAGCCATTGTACAACCAGCATCAGTGGAAGATTAGGAACTGGAGGACCCTTGACAAGGTCAAATGCTGGTCTAGAGAAAGGACGTGAAGTCTTCCCCTCCATCCCACTTCGATCCCACGACACCGAAACAAAGTGAAGGATTTGCAGGAGAATCATGCACTAACAGGGGCAGCTTACAAGGAAAGACACCAGCCTCTCGTCCTCAGTGTGTACCTGCTCAAGCAGCATATGTGCTTTTCTGTCCCTGCACCAGCTTAAGCAAGGAGGAGGGAACTCGGGCGAGAGACGGTGGCACACAGAGGTGCTGGTGAGGCACCTCGGCCCAGCACAGCAAGGATATGCTAGTGTCCGGGGGCCTAGGGGATGTTGTGAAACAGCAGGGCCTGGAACCATCCTGATGGTAGAAAGCTCACCAATTTTTTCATGGAATTATCACTAATGAATACATATCCCATATTAGGGACTAGCAATACAAAAAGTATCTGCCCTCAAAGAGCTCCGGGTGCGGGGGGGCGGTGTGCAGACACACACGATGACAGCACAATGCAGCAGGTTCACATGATGCAGACAGGCGTCAAGGTTTATGAAAGCACAGAGCAGGTGTGACTGTATGCGGCTGGGGGGGGGAGGGCAAAGGAGACCGATGGCCAGGGAAATACAACATTTAAACAACATTTATAAACATATAAATTGTTATAAACATTTAATTTATAAACAATTTTTATAAAAAAATTTAATACTACCTTAAATTTTAAAGAGTAAAGTGCCTAGATTGAGGGAGGCTGAGAAGCATGGAGAGACAGAAAAGAGAGAAGAAAGGGCGGCCCAGCGTCAGGGAGAGAAGCAGCGCCGTGTGAGTTCTCAGTATCTACAGGAAATACGGGACTATTTCCCCTACGTGTTCCAGAGGGACTAGGAAGTGTCACAGCTGGTAAGGACAGTAATGATGGCAGAGGAATCTGTGATGAAAGGAGTTGAGAAATACCAGAACTCCTTGGTTTGAAACATGTTTACTGCAATTCTTCTTAGGATCTTTAATATGTTAATGGACATTATAAACTTCCAAAAGGAGAAATACACAGTTTCCCTGAATTGTAACTACACCCCTTCTCTGGGAGGCATTCTGCATAACTAATATTCCTCGGGAAAGGCAGAGCTAAAGCGTGCACTGTCACACCACGTCCTGGTTTAGTACTCAAGCCTTCCCCACTGCCGCACTAAGAATATTTTCTCTTCCTTCGGGGGGCAGGGGGGTAGGAATATTCTGTTAAGATTAGCTGCAGAGCCTTGTAAGCTCAAGGTGTCATTGATTTGGGGTGCTACTCCTAGCTAGGGGTGGGACTCTGGACAATAGGAAATGAGTGTAGAAAGATCTAGAGAAGCCCAGCTATCAGCCAGATGGGCAGAGTCCCAGGGTTCAGGAGAGGCCTGGGGGTCAGTAATGGAGAGACTGGTCCCTGTTGGAGTGCAGAAGAAAGATGAACAAGGGCAGGCAGGCAGAGCAGAAGCCGACAGACAAAATACCACCGGATGTTAACCCAACGAAGGCCTGGGTGACAAGAGTATCAGATGGACAGGTCAGTAAACAAAAGCAGACACAGAAGACAGGCACACAGCCAGATTTTAACAGCAAAGAAGATATGTTGTCCCAAGTCACTGACCTCCTGGAAAGAGAAAATGGCCTAATGGTTTGCTAAAACAACACAAAACAACACAAAAAACTAACTCGGAATTCTGGTTGGAATAAAAGCTTAAGGGACAGTGAAAAGAAAGCCATTTTGGTCAACTAGGTAGGTAATTCTTAATTCCTAATCCAGGAATTTTAGGAATTCTAAATAAAGAGATAGAAACAAATAGAAAAAATTCAGAAGTCCTGAGGTTTTGTTCAGTCAGGGTTTTAACAGAAGAAAGCCAGGAATGACGGAAGAAAGGGAGAAATTCTAACTTCGACCAGCAACCCTATCCTCCTCTTTGGGTTCTGGGTTGACAGGTTCTAAGAATTCAACTGACGGAACAAAAAGAAAGAACTAGAAAGACTTCCATAAGTCGTTCCAGTAATTACTTTCAAGTCAAATACTAGGCTTTGTCGATGTCCATATGGGAAAATACCCTTCAGAAATCACAGGACCAGGTGCCACAAGTGATACCACCTGGACAAAACAGTCACGTCAAAAAACAATGGACCATAAGACAGAAAAATCTAGATTCTACTTCTGTCTAGCATGACTAGTCATTTTTTTCACTCTGCCAAATGAAGATACTAACAGACATCTTGTCTTCTTAAGCCGGAGGTCCAAGCGAGACACAAGCGCACACTGAACACTGCAAGAAGCCAAACACAGAGCATCACGGTAACGTCCAAGGACTGGATCTTCGAGACGCTCCAGCTATTTATGTTTAATTGGCTTTGAGTTTGTTTTTTAAAAGAAGAAGAATCTGATATCAGGCCTTAACTATAATGCTTCCCTCCATATTCTGAAAACAATTTCCAGGAGGAAGGAAGACTGAGAAGACAAAGTCAGCGTCATGGTGCCTCAGAAGCCACAGTGGAGGCTGCTGTGCTGCGCTTCCGAGGAACTGACTCGAGCAGTTTTCTGCTTCCTGGGCTGGGTCATCAACATACAGAGCCTGTGGCCAATTTGATACTGGTTTCATTAATTCACAAAATCAGTACATTTGGAAGAAAAGAAAAAGAGGAGATAAGACTTTGAAATATAAGCACAAGCCCCAGTTTTCAATTAAATCCTAACTACCCTGGAGTGTATTACTTCTCACGCACTTATATGCAGCCGTCAGTCACCTAGTTATTAGGAGATACATCCTGACTCACCTCCTCTGGTAAATAACATTTTAATATCTTCATAGATGCCAATCTGTGCTGCCTTCCTAGACTAGAGTTTCTTTCACACAGCCCTTCCATTTTGTGAGAATGACTTAGATTTACCATAGGCTAAAGAACCCAACGCAATTTAAATCACTTTTATCATGACCAGTGACGTCAGGGTGGGGAGTCCAGACATCACTACACGAAGAACAAAAGAAAACAAAAGGAAAACGGGCTGTAAGCGCACAGGTTCACCAATTGCAAATATGCATCTGGCCAATGCTGTATAACTAAGAGCAGTATTTCAGGACTGAAGTTCGGAATCGTGACACAGTGTGGAACCTTCTTTCGGAGGTAGCAGGGAAACTTGAGTGAATATAAAATGTTCGGAGCCTCTGAAGGGCAGCCTGAGTGTAGCTGGTACATTTTAGGACCAGCTCTGAGTAAATGACAGGGCTCACTGTTCATAAATTTGTGTGGCGTTAAGGCTCAGCCTTTTCAGGCATCTGCCCTTTTGTGGTGGCCGGGGCGGGGGGGAGTGATGGGGGGTGGTTGATGAAGGAGGAATAGCTACTTAACTACCACATAGTGAGGGTATCTTTGTTTCTAGGAATTAAATTCTTTTTAAAGAGAGGAGTCCAATCAGGAATCCGGAATGGCTACTGGGTCTTCTTCCTTCCAAAATTTTTCTTTTGGAAAAATGTCAAACCAAGAAATTCTTTAACATATAATGAACACTGTTTATCTCTCTCAACTACGTTCACCAGCCACCAACATTTTCCCCTATTGGCTTTATCTGGGTATGTACATTTTTTGTAGTTTTGTGAAATCATTTGCAAATAAATGGAAGACTTCATGGCCCTCACCCCTAAATATTTCAGCATGCATCTCCCAAGAACAAGTAAAGACATATGTATAATGCTATTGTCATTCTCAGGAAATCTAGCATTGACATATATCTAATATACATTCTGAACTAAATATCTGATTGTTCCAATAGTATCTTTTGTGGTCTTTACATTTTTCTAATCTAGGATTTTGTACTGGATTTAACTATATTGCTTTAGTTTCCCTAATCTTGAAAGACTCTATCCTCTCTTGGATTTCAGGACATTGACATTTTTGAAGAGGCCAGACCAACAGTTGTTTTTAGAATGTCCTACAATTTGGATTTGATATATTTTTCTTCTCATCATTGTTTCAGTTAGATTCAGAGAAGTGGACATTTTAGGCAAGGAACTCCATAGGTGATGTTGTATCCTTCTCAACAGATCACACGAGGAGGCAGATATTTTCCATCTGTCCCATTACTGGTGATGCTAGTTTTGATCACTTGGTTACATGCTGTATGCTGGGTCTCTCTACCATACATCTTCCCCTAGGTAATCATTTAGTAACCTGTGATGTTTTAAGACTATGTCGATATATGTTCCCCAATAACCTTCTAACCAATGGTTTTAGCATCCACTGATGGATGATCTCTGTCTGAGTCATTTCACTAGTGATTGCAAAATAATAACTATCATTTCTTCTGCATTTACAAGCTGGAAATTCTCTAATATTAAACTGTAGGCTCACAGATTCTTCATTTTTATTTACTGCATTATAAGCCATTAGCATTATTATTCTTTTGGATGTTCAAACTGTCCCACAGTTGGCCAGGTGGATACCATCCAGCGAGCTCCTATATATTTTCAGGTTATTTCCATTAGTTTTTGAGTAGCTCTTGGCTCTGTTCTCGCCTTGTCTCTGAAAGCCATCTCTTCACAGAGTCCTGGTTTCTTTTACTAGGGAACAATATTTTAAGCCCAAAATCTTTTTTTTTTTTTAAGATTTTATTTATTTATTTGACACACAGAGATCACAAGTAGGCAGAGATGCAGGCAGAGAGAGAGGAGGAAGCAGGCTCCCCGCAGAGCAGAGAGCCCGATGCGGGGCTCGATCCCAGGACCCTGGGATCATGACCTGAGCCGAAGGCACAGGCTTTAACCCACTGAGCCACTCAGGCACCCCTGAGCCCAAAATCTTAAGTGCCAGGTGTGTCCATTACTGTGGGGTCTCATTGCTTCTAAGCCCTTTCAGTGGGCATAGCCAGCAAATATTTTTTTTAAACAATTCATGAGTTCATCTACAAATCAATAAAATGTTAGACAACCAATAGAAATATGGGAAGTTCTGCTCCCATCCAGGATGTAGGACACTACAAAGAACATTATCCCCAGCCAGGGCGCCTGAGTGGCTCAGTGGGTTAAGCCTCTGCCTTAGGCTCAGGTCATGATCCCAGGGTCCTGGGATTGAGCCCCACATCTGGCTCTCTGCTCAGCGGGGAGCCTGCTTCCTCCTCTCTCTCTCTCTCTCTCTGCCTGCCTCTCTGCCTACTTGTGATCTCTGTCTGCCAAATAAATAAATAAAATCTTAAAAAAAAAAAAAGAAAGAACATTATCCCCACCCAAAAATGAGAAAAAGCCAGATAACCTACAAAATCATAATTTTTCTTGATCCCACCAGAGAGAGAGCTGAAACTGCAGGACAGCCAAGTAACCTGAATTCCAAAGACAAGCCCCTCCAAAGGATGGATGGGACATGAGAGCAAGAGGTAGCCACCATGCAAACAGGTTAAGGTGAAACCGTTACTGTCCCAGTCACTGCTTCGCATTGCTGGCTCTTTTACCATCCCAAACCACCACAGAAGACAGTGAAATTATGCAGTCCAAAGGTAATCATTGGAGGAACTAAAAATAGTGACACTATTCTGAGAGGAGATCTATAGGAATTCTTAATTATAACAAAGAGGTCAAGATTTAGAATCTAAAATTGATAAATCAAAAAGCAATTTCATAGACTAAACACTAATGATCAACTATACACCTGAACATGGTTATGATGGTAACCTTTAGGTTTGGGGGGGGGTGTTTAACAAAATTTTAAAAAGTAGCATCATAAGCATATTCTCTAGTGATAACAACTAGAATAAACAGGTAAAATTCTTCTTCTCTGAGAGTAATGCTTGGGATAGGAAAGGCTATTATTTTCATTGTAACCCCATTTGAACTGCTACATCATATTTTCTTTAACATATATGTGTGCATTACTTTGGTAATTTTATCAAACTCTGAAAAAAAAGACTCTACCTTGATCTGCAAGACATCAAGTGGAACAGTCTCTCCTTTCACAATGGCAAGGGTGGCATCTGTAATATGTCTAAAAAGACAAAGGGAGGAGATGATCATGTGTGGAAAACAAGAAACCCTTGCCCCACCACACACACAAACAGACACACACACACACACACACACACACTCCTGTCCAGAGAACTAACAGGTTAGGAAAAAGACCTATTCCTTCAAAATACTCCCAGACAGCACAACAAATTAATATAAAAGAATTACTAATACAAATATAAGGGAAGGCTCTGGCAAAGAGAAGTTTATACAAGGCACAAATCATTTGTTTACTTCACAACTTACTGAATCCCTACTCTGTGTCTGACTCTTATCACTGGAAAATATGATACTTAATATTAACAGCATCTTTCATTCATTCCAAGAAATTTAAGCACTTGAAAAAATATTATTTGACTCTAATAACCTAAAAGGTAACTAAGGGATAGGATCTGAGCTATCTCAGCAAAATATAATCTGGAACCCAAAACCTATTCCTCTGACTTCCCAGGATTACAAGGATGTAATTTTAATGGCTGATACTTTTGTTCATAGACACAAGACTATTCCTACCTACATTCTGATCGTCAGTTAAAAAGTCTATAGGTAAGAAAACCTGGTACCATTGATAATCATACTGGGCATGTGAAAAAACTATGCTAAGCTTAAAAGCAGTTCTAGGGTTCATACTCTAATTAGATCCCAGGTCAGACACACATTAAGTTACAACAGTCAGCCAAAGAAATATTAAATCAACAAGTGGCCAAACAATATTTGCTCTTGCAGCAGAAAGAACAAGTCAACCCACATCAAACACTCTCCCTGCCCAGCCTGTCCACTCCTCCGGTCACTTACGCACCGTCTCTTTATTTGGCTGGCTAGTCTCATCCTTCAGATCTTCGCTGAAACGTTACTGTTTACCCTAACCAGCCTACAGGCCCTTCCGTATAATTCTCTAGCACTATGGACTCTGAGATCAAACAAACTGAGGGTTTGGAGGGGAGGAGGGTACGGGGTTGGGTAAACCTGCTGGTGGGTATTATGGAGGGCACATATTGCATGGAGCACTGGGTGTGGTGCATAAACAATGAAGCTTGGAAACTGAAAAAATTAAATTAAATTAAAAAAAAAGAAATGGGTTGTCTTACTATGTTGTCGAGGGTCTGGATTTTACTGATTGCATTCCCATGGTATTAACACGTGTCCCTATTCCTGCATTTCCTAAAAATCTCTATCTGATTCAGCTACTCCAAAGGTAGCGGTGTGTACTTCCATCAGAGGTGTGTACTTCTACCAGTAAGTAGATGCAATCTCTTTGCTTTTTTGTGTGTGTGATAGTAGCAACCACTGGTAATCAATAGCTACATTAGTTAACAGAGTTGCAAAATAGTGATCTTTCAATCCTATCATTCCTTCTCACTTATCATCTGGTCCATAAAGAGAAACCTTCCCTCATCAATGATTTAGGTACCATAAAATAGAGGTCATACGAGAAAATCAGGGTAAATGTCATACGAGAAAATCAGGGTAAATGTTGGATTTCTTAACTTCACCAATTTTCAAAATAATAAACTGATATCCCAGGAGCCTCTAAAGAGGACCAATGAGTTTTTCACCTTTATTCCGAAGTATCACTACGTACTCATAAATAGTTTTAAATATGTTTTATATGTTTCAGTGCATTATAGTTATTAGCCTTACTGATACTCAAATTGTCCCAAATGAATGAGTTTCAAGGGTGGAGTACGAGGATCAGTCGATAATCAGAAGGAACAATGAGAAAGAGCGGCCAAGGAAGGTCCCTATCAATGTCAACCACGCCGAGGAACAACTAACAGCCCCCCCAGGCCCCCAGCCCGTATTCACATAAGTAGAATTATCTATGTTTGAAAGAATAAGTTTAATATAAATACAATTTATACATAGCTAATTCCATCCTTTTAGGCACACTGTTTTACAGTTTGGGACAAATGCTTTCACTCCTGTAACCATCACCATGACCAAGATACAGAACATTTATGACATCTCGGAAAGTCCCTTCAAGGCACCTCGTGGCCAGCGCACATGCCCCACCACCAGCTCCTCGCCAACTACTGTTTCCTGTTTTCCAGAATGTCACATAAATTGAAACCAAACATATGAAGCCTTTGCAGTTTAGCTTTTTAGAACTGCTAGCGTGAGTATGAGATTCATTCATGCTGCTGAATGGATTTAAACACTGTTTCTTTTTCTTGCATAGTCGTATTCCATTGTATGGACTTACCACAGCTTATCCACTCACCAGGTGATGGATGCTGGCACCATTCCCAGTTTTTGGCAGTTACAAATGAAGTGACTATAAACATTCATGTATAGGTTTTCGTATGGACATAGGACTTCATTTCTTTTGGGTAAATACCTAGCAGTGTGATTGCTGCTCATATGTTTAATTTTATTTATTTTTATAAAGATTTTATTTATTTATTTGACAGACAAGAGATCACAAGTAGGCAGAGAGGCAGGCAGAGAGAGAGAGGGAAGCAGGCTCCCCGCTGAGCAGAGAGCCTGATGAGGGGTTCAATCCCAGGACCCTGAGACCATGACCTGAGCCGAAGGCAGAGGCTTTAACCCACTAAGCCACCCAGGTGCCCTTCAAATGTTTAATTTTAAAAGAAACTGCCAAACTCCTTTCCATAGTGGCTATACCATTTTGCATTTCCACCAGGAATATGAGAGTTTCAATTGCTTTGTGTATTTGTCAGCACTTGACCTAAGGTTTCCATCTGGTTTGTTTAAGCCATTCTAACATACACAGCTAATAGTGGATTTGATTTGCACTTCCCTAATGACTAATGATGAACATTTTTTCATAGGCTTATATGCCATCTATGCCTTTGGTGAAGGGTCATTCAAATATTTTGCCCTTTTATTGGCTGTTTATTTTCTTATTATTGAGTTGAGGGAGTTATTTGTATACTCTGGATATTGGTCCTTTACCAGATATGTCCCTTGCAAATTTTTTTTCCCAGTCTGCAGCTTGTCTTTTCATTTCCTTAACAATGGTTTTCAGGGGCGCCTCGGCAGCTCAGTTGGTTAGGTGTCTGCCTTCGGCTCAGGTCATGATCCCAAGGTCCTGGGACTGAGCTCCCTGTCACTGGGAATCTCTGCTCAGCAGGGAGCCTGCTTCTCCTCTCCCTCTGCCCCTCCACTCTGCTTGTGTTGTCTCTCATGCACATGTTCTCTCAAATGTAAATCTTAAACACACACACACATACACACACACACACACACACACTTTTTTCAAAGAACAAACATTTTAAATTTTGCTAAAGCCAAAATTATTCTTTGTTGTTTTTTTATGGTTTCTGCTTTTTGTATCCTAAGAAATCATTGCCTTGGGGCATCTGGGTGGCTCATTCAGTTAAGTGTCTGCCTTCAGCTCAGGTCATGATCTCAGAGTTCTGGGATGGAGCCCCACATTAGGCTCCCTGCTCAGTGGGAAGCCTGATTCTCCCTCCCACTCTGGTGTTCTGCTTGCCGCGTTTGCTCTCTCACTCACTCTCTGTCAAGTAAATGAATAAAATCTTAAAAAAAAAAAAAAAATGACCAAAAAAAAATCACCTAACTCAAAGTCACAAAGATTTTCCTCTAAAGTTTCAGGTTTTACATCTAAGTCTATGACTGATTTCGTGTTAATTTTTACACATATGGTTCATTTTCTTACATGTGCTTAGCTAACTACTGCAGCACCAATTGTTGAAAAAACTGCCCTTTCTCCACTGAATTGCCCTGGCACCTTTGTCCAAAAAAAAAAAAAAATCAAGTGTCCAGATATGTGTGGGCTTAATTCTGGACATTTTCTTCTACTGATCTATTCATTTCTTCTTTTGTTAACACCACACTGTCTTGATTACTGTACCTTTAGAAAATAAGTCTTGGAATCAGAGTAAGCCCTCAAACTTTGTTATTTTCTTCAAAGTTATTCTGGGGAGTCTAGTTCCTTAATTTTTCCATATAAATTTTAGAATCTACATGTCAGTATCTATAAAAAGTCTTCTGAAATTCTTATTGAGATTGTGTTGAATTTAGAAATCAATTTGGAGATAAAAGACATCTAAATATTGAGTCTTGAAACCTATGAACACAGATATCTCTCTATTTCACTGTTCTCTAGATTTCGCTTTTCAAAGTTTTGTAGTTTCAGCATATAAATCGTACACATATTTTGTTAGATTTATCCCTAAGTATTTCATGTTTTTGTAAAGCACTGTTTGTACTGGAGTGTCTTTATTGTTGTATTTTAGAAAATAAAGTAATTACTAAGAAAGTAAAATATTTATTGTGTCTAGCACTTAAGTACAACTATAAGAAAGGAGTCACTTAGGGAAGCCTGGGTGGCTGAGTCGGTTAAGCATCTGCCTTCGGCACAGGTCATGGCCCCAGGTCCTAGGATAGAGCCCCGCATCGGGCTCCCTGCTTTGCCAGGGAGCCTGCTTTTCCCTCTCCCTCTGCCTGCTGCTCCCCCTGCTTGTGTCCTGTCAAATAAATGGATAAAATCTTAAAAAAAGAAAATAAAAAAATAAAAGGAGTCACTTAGAAATTAATCTACTCTCCATTCAAAAAAGTATAGTTTCTCGTCTAATATGGCTTCTCCTAATCTATTCTGCTCTGTACAGTTCTGGTTAATAATGTCAATTTGGTAGAAAAAGTCACCTATCCATAGTACCAAACTGGAATATCTATAAAATGTCTTTTCCTTTAAAAGTGTTTTGCCTTAGGTGAAACAGCAAGAGAATAGAGTGTTCTCTTCGATTGGCTTATACCGTTTTAATTATAGAATTGGTCTCAGTAACTGTACAGCCACCCTATTTGTTATTTACTGTTTTCCATACTAAATTATCAATAAATAGGCATAAGGTCTTCAACATATCCAGTAAGTTACCAAGCATAATTACCTGTTTACGTAACAAGTCCTTATTTTAACTTAACAATCTTCTGAAGTAAGTACTGTTGTTGGGCATTTGATAAAGGCAGGTAAAGAAACTGGGGCTCAGAGAGATTCAGTAAAATTCTCAAGACGACGAGAAAGCCTGTGGCAAAATGAAATTCAGCTGCAGGTCTTGCTCCAAGGGTGTGCTCTCTCACCTGGCAAGGCAGTTGCAGTCGTACCAAAGGGCAACCCCACAGCAAACAGGCCTCCCCCTCGGGCGTGACCAGGCTTACTTAACATGTAAACATCTAAGTCAGGAATTGCAGCCACTGGAATCAGCACTTCCGACAACGCTGGGTACAATTTAAGACCCTAAATATACACGTCAACTCAAACACTTGGATTACATTCCGGGCTCTGTAGTAAGCAAAACCAAAGTTAAGGAACAGCCTATTTTCCTTTCCCATATTTCTCTATCAACACATCCTTACCCCATTTTTTCCCTCCAATACGATGCTATCTGGGAAGTAAGCAGCAGTTTAGAAAATGAGATTCAATCTCGGAGAAAGCAAGAGGCATGATCACAAGTTGAGATTAATCTGATAGGAATACATTAATTCTGAAGGAAGCTATTAGAAAGGATCCAAGAGCTCCGCGCTGCCTCTGAGTGGTACTGAGCACCATGAGGGCTTAGGAAGCACTTTTGAGAGACTGACCTTAAAAACAACAACAACAACAAAAAAAACGCTGCAACTGAAAAAGCCTTTTAATATTCATATTTTTCCCAAAATTATATGGCAGCACACAGCTACAATACAACCACAAATTTATCATTCCCCAGCAGTAATTGAAAGTTCTAGCCAAAGCAGCACTGTAGCACCAACCAGCTATTTGTTAGAATTATTTACCTGCAACATTCCAAATGCAAGATTCTTTTTTCTCCTGTAGTAATTACGGTACAACAAATCTTGACAGCAGTGCAAAAAGGAAAGCCTTGTACTTTTAAATGGCCTTAGGCATCTGCCTTGTTGAGAGGGCTACAAAATTCTGAACCCAGGGCAGATTTACCTAATTACCTCAGAGCCCCGGGGCATGCTTATAAATTAAGTTTTATAAATCTTTAAATTTTAAATAGAAGCAGCAACATTAGCTTAACCCAGGGAAAATCAGCTCCCCAAAAAAACAAAACACCTTCCAGAAATTAAGACCTTGAGGGCAGCCACGTTGCGCTTACCTGGCTTTGGGATAAGCAAGGCGTTCTCCAAGGAACATTGTCTCCCTCTGGATTGCTGACATATTGGGAACATTGGGAAAGCAGTTCAAATCATCTACATTAACATAAAGCCAAAGACTAACTCTCTAACGTAACCAAGACCCAAACCAGATAGAATTTATCTCACAAAAGCAAAAATGTTTGAATAATTCATTATTTGCTATACACATTGCCCCTCAGAAATTCTAAACTAAGAATAAAAAGCCTGGCAAACCGAAATGCCATGTGAGGCTTCAGGATGCCTGGTGAAGAGCGGACAGCCCCAATAGATGAAGGCTTGAAGCAGGAGCCGTTTTGACAACGACTCTTATGGTTAGGTCTATGGTTAGGCCTTGTGCCTGACATATGGACCAAGACTTTTATGATATATAGAGAGACAGAGAATTGTTAAAAGATATAAAATGACTCCTAAAATTCTAACAGCAAAAGTAAATCCACAAAAACCAACTTAATCGATATCCCAAAACAATAAAAAAAAAAGCCCAACAGAAAATCACCTATTACCATTGTCATGATTTTAGAAGGTTATATAACCGAAAATGTTGTGCAAAGATTTTAATTAATACCTTCAACAAGTATTTCTTTGTTGGCCTCCCCCAGCTGCGTCACAAAGCTTGCATGAACGATCAGATGACTGACAATGAGAGCCTGCAAACGATTATACTATTTACTTCCTGTCAAAGCCAGGACTCAAGCTCAAGATTCCTATCTTCTTAAAAGACTACAGCTTTGTTTACATAACACTTTCGGGAGAAAAGAACGATAACAACAATCTGCAGACAGTCAGACTCAGCAATTTAATTTAGATGCCAGGGCTACCGTGCTTTCCTGGCTGCTTTATCCATACTGCCTTCCACTTTAGGCATTCCTGAAGGATGGGACTATTAACTATTATCTCGCTGTTCTAGTTACTTATGTTATCAAGATAATGAAGCCAAGGTTACCCATTCAGTTTTCACAAGGGACTTGCTATTTGTCATCATATATTTTTAAAACAAATAATCAATGCAAATCTGACTTCACTAGAGAATCTTCCAAAATAAAGGCACAAAGACAGTTTGGATTGGGGATGCTATCTTCAAAACTGACAGAACAACATCAGTATTCATCTCTACACCCGACCTGGGCACTTGATATCAGAACACCGGAGTCCCAGAACCCAACAGGGAAACCCCCAATGAACTAAAAGGTTGTACTTTGATCTACGTCCTCCTCTTAATGATCTGTGGTTCCATGCTATCCAAACTAAAAACAAACAAAAAATTCATATCACCCATGCATGAGCTGTCCATTCCCAGGCTCACTCACTCACAAACGCTACTACCCCACATTGACAACCTACTGGACTCTGTTTCCGCTTTCAGCAAAGAGGGTAGGACTCAAACTACTGGTCTGTCCCAATGGGATAAATCCAATGGGAATTTTACTGAAGGAAGCCTAAGGGAAAAAAGAAGAGGAAAGTTTTTATGGTTATGGTCAGAGAATCAGACTGAACAGAAAGACACAGACGTGTCCATTATGACAAAGTAACTGACCCTCAGTGCACCACCCAGTCTCTCCCGTCCCTAGACCCCAGCAATCAGATAATGCTAAGGCCAGAATGAGACAGGCCTGGAAAACAATAGGACTCTCTGAATTTGGAAGAAGTATTTGGGTACTCATTAACAGCAACTGGTTGAAAGAAATTTGGTTACAAAAAGGAGGGTCTTAAAGCTTTTAGATAGGGGCCCCTGGGTGGCTCAGTCGTTAAGCGTCTGCCTTCTGCTCAGGTCATGGTCCCAGGGTTCTGGGATCAAGCCCCGTATTCGGCTCCCTGCTCAGTGGGAAGACTGCTTCTCCCTCTCCCTCTGCTTGTGTTCCCTCTCTCGCTGTGTCTCTGTCAAACAAATAAATAAAGTATTAAAAAAAAAATTTAAAAAAAAGGATTTAGATAAACGTGCTATTGTGACAGAGACGTATTATGTTGTCACACTATTCAAAAAAGTTGAAGATAAAATTCAACTAGAAATACCTAACATTTGTACAGTAACTAATGACAGTGCTTTATAAGCTATCTCAAGTGTAAAGAAGGCAAAGAGAACGAACAAGTTCAAGTAGCAGTCCCTCCCCCCTCCCCCTCTCCCTTCCTCAGCCGAAAGCACTATCCTGCCAATGCTGTGATGCCTTTCCGGCCCGTTATTATTCTTTGACGACGTATTTACACATCCATTAATAGTATGCAGTGCTGCTTTCTGAACTGCAAGACTCTATAGAAATGCGATAACGTACTTTGGCAACCTGCCTTTTGTATTCAGTATTTTTTAGACTTAATCACTTTATAGATATATATATATATCTATATACATATAGATATATATATAGGTCTATAAATCTGTAAATATTTATAGATATTTATAGGTCTAATTCATTCATTCTTACTGCTACATGGCTTCCAGTACATGAATATATCATCATTTATTTATGAAGGAATTCTGTGAAGAGAATGTTCCATGGGAAAAATTTATATTTCAAACAACAGCTTTTCTGGTAAAAGCTCTCGGGTGCTCTGGAATACTGAAACAGAGGAGTCCGCCACGGACTGACCAAAGTGTTCTAGAACAAACGCAGCTGTACTTTATTTGCTAAAACCCAAAGAAGCACAATTTGTGCCCACCTTAAAATATGAAATGACAAGAAAAGGTAAAAGGATATAAAAAGCACAGAAACGTAAAAGCTAAAATGCAGTCACTCTTTCTTGAAAGCTCACCTCATCTGCTCTTCGAAGAACTCCAGTAATAACCTACAAACATTAAAAAAAAATTATTATAAACAACGTGTAGTTCCCTCATCAAACAAGAATTGGATTCAATTTTCATGGATCACAATCTTCTGTCTGTTCTCTTCTTAGAAACTGTGTCAAAAGATGTCCTGGCTCTTAAAACATACAGTGTTCTGCAGAGGGATCAGAGCAAAATTAGATTGGATTCTTGACCTAAGATCAATAGCCCAAGAAAGGCTAAGATGAAATAATTACAAAACCTCCACATTATATTAGCAAGATTGTTCTGCGTTCTCTACACTGGATACAAATGTGAGGTACACAGCGATCATACAGAGCGGCCTGGGTCGCAATACACCCACACCCACACACACAGACACACACACACACACACACACGAACAAAAGTCACGCTTTGCTACACACAGAGAAGTCTGTGCTCTATGAAGATTTCTCATCCAGGAACACGAAGACAAGGGGAACAACAGCCCTCTTTTAAAAGATATTTTTAATTTCAATTTGTACATGATGGTTTTTTATTTTTAAAATATAATATCCATGCTTTGCATTAGTGGTGAAAAAATACCTGAAGAAGGAAATGCTTTCTCATCATCCCACATGCCGGCTAACCACCTGAATCAGTTGCTTATGTTTTGGCATATTTCCCTCCAATCCTTTTTTCATTCAGTGCGTATTTGTATATGACTGAGATCATACCAAATACACACCTATACCAAATATATAATTTGGTCTATTTCTTAAAACATTTTGTGAAGTAAGGACGGACGCCAATCTTCTCCCTTCACCTCCTGCCTCCGTGAATTTCCGCATCAAATGGGGCCGCCATGAGGTCGACTTCGTTCTGTGTTGGCATGCTATCAGTATTCTTCACACTTCATTAAAAAGCCGTATAAACAATTACGGGATCATTAGCACAGGCTTTCTAAAAGCAGCTTACTAAGGCTCACATAATTACTAAGTCAAACATAGGACACTGCTCTGTCTGCAGTTAGCTCCGGCTCCCTCGACACAGAGGAAACCATTAGATGGAGGCAGAAGGCCATCAGAAATGAGGCCCAGTTGTGAACGACGGCCCACAAGAGGAGAGGACGGAGCAGTAGGAGGGGCACCCGCACAGGGCTTTTCAGGGGTTTCCAATTAGCCGCCCTCGAAAGAGCACAGCTGAGGCAATGTACTTATTGTCCTTATTGGACCAGAATAAGCATTAAGGACATGAAATTTTAAAACAAAGGCAGATACACACATCTGAACTTGTAGATCCCTGCCTCTAACCATACTATTATGAGAGAACATTTCACGCAATGGAAATGATGTGAGAATAGAAGCATTTTTTCAAAAGAAGGATCTAAGTTTATTTTATAAGAACCATCCCTCATGATTAAAACTGATTCCCTAACTCCCTAACATACAGGGCTACTCCATCAGTCCCCAAAATATTAAAAGCTTATCATACCCATCACCATTTCTTTTCCTTATTCAATTTTAACCAACTTAAATTTGATACAACAAAAATCCTCCTATATGTTGGGTATAAGGTTTATACAAAACAAGAGAATAAAAGTGCATGACAGAAATGTAACGCTACACCTGTTTCAGAGAATAAGAATCCTAAAAAAATAAATTACAAAGAATTTCCTTAAATTAAAACCACTTTATGCCAGTGCTCTAAGATCTAATTTCCATTTTCCTCACCTTCAAAATGATTTCGAATAGAAAAACAACCATACCTCCTGCAATGTCCCATCTCCTCCCGCAACGATGATCACATCTGTGTTTTCCATCAGTTCCAGGAGTTTCTTGGCTTGGCCCTCATAATCGGTCTGAAATACAAAAGAAGTCTTTGGTAAAGTTGCCAGCCTAGGGCCTTAAAATCAAAGATTTAAAAATATGGGATATTTTCTTTAGAGTCTAACACAGTCTTTCCTCAAATTCTACATAATTGATAGACACAAAAACTCAGTAGCTATCAAAGCAATCATGTACACAGTTCTGTACTGTTTAGAACTGGAAGGGACCTGAGAAGCCATCTTTAACCTTCCTTTAAAAATAAAACCCAAACCCAGTGATCTGTGTCCACTTATACACCTAACTAGTCAAAGGACTCATTTCCAGGCCAGTGCAGATTCTATTACACCATTTACCCGGCACCTTTCATCTGAAAGCAGGAAGTCAAGTGTATATGCAAATAGAGAGACACAGATGTAATGAAAAGAGCACAGATATGGGAGCCCAAGAGACCCAGACTAAACCCCAACTCTGCTACTTTTCAGCTGAGTGGCCTTAAACTCTCAGGACCTTAACTGCCTCACCACTGAAATTATGTGTGTTGGGGTTGGGGTAGTAACAGCTTGCCCATAGTACTGTTGTAAAGCAGTGTATGAAGCAACTAGCAAGGAAACCGTTCAGGACCGGCACCGTACTTCAACAAAAGGTTGGGTTTTGCTATGATTATACAATAAAGTACAGGTGTGACTCAGAGTAGTGACAAAACAGTACCTAAACCTCACTATTTTTATTAAGAGTATTTCCTCTCAGATACATATACAACCTTCAATGAATCTAAGCCGTTGCCTCTATAACCAAACAGTAAATTCTAGAACGCGTAATGCAGCTGACACTAACATAGGAAACATCCTCTCCTACTGACACTGTACGAGACGCACTAATAGACAAAAATTGAAGATCTGAATTTCAGATGGGCTAAAGCACCTGAGCACAGTTAACGCAAAGGAAAAAGGAAGTCCCTAAACACACACCATGAATTTTACAAGGAATTATCTCACTTTTATTCTAAAAGTGAAAAGGCTGGCTTTATAGTTACACATTTGCAAATAGTAAATTTTTTTAAGAATATATGTCAATCAGATTAAAAGGATGGTTTGTGAGTACCCTGAAATAAGCGATGGGTTTGGTATGGGTTTGCTAAGAAAGAGGCATTTCAGACTATCCTCAACTTCTTTGACATTACTAGATCAGTAGATACAGGAAACCAGATGGATATTGTATCTGCTCTTCAGCAAGGCACCTGGTAAACTATTTGATGACATCCATGGGGACAAAATGGAGAAACGTGGAAATAATGTGCTAGAATACAAGTAGATTAGTTAGTTACGAACTGAAGGTCTGTGCGCAAGTGAGAAGCTCAGGGCGGTGACATCAAATTGCAGGTAGATTCCACAGTGGAACCCAACTCCAGGCTTGAACCCACAACTCTGAGAGCAAGAGCTGAGCTGAAATCAAGCATCGGATGCTTAATGGACTGAGCCACCCAGGGGCCCCAAGCCTTTTTCTATACAGTGCTGTATCAACAACAGAGGTGAAAGGTGTATATGTAAATGACACTATTTTAAAAAACAGACACTGGCCTCCTTACTATTCCTCAAACATGCCAAGTACACTCCCGCTTCAGAGTCCTAAACGTGCAGCATCCTCAGATCCTTTCCCCCCAACATCTGCAGGACTCACTCATTTGCCTCAGGTCTCTGCTGAACAGCCATCTCCTCAGACCGGTCTCTCCTGACCTTCTGAACTAAAGTAACTCCCATTACTCCTGGTCCCCTTATTCGGCTTGACCTTTCTTCACAGCACTCATCACCATCTGACAAACCATGTTTATCTATCCGTTTCTTTTATCTGCATCTCTCCCTTTCCCACTTTGAAGAGAAGCTCTTTGGGGACAGACATGAAAAGTTTATTTTGTTCAGACTGTATCCCCAATACCTAGAACAGGACTTACCTCACAGCAGGCAGTCAATAAATACTAGCAAAAAAAATTAATATAAGTACACAAATGAAAGAACCAAAATTCAAAAATAATTTGACAGATTTAATAGGCCATAATTTAAGATTATAGGGATAACCTATTTGAGGCTCTGGTGTTAAGAAAATTCCAGGTCACCTGGGTGCTCAGTGGGTTAAGCCTCTGCCTTCGGCTCAGGTCATGATCTTGGGGTCCTGGGATCAAGTCCCAAATCGGGCTCTCTGCTTGGCAGGGAGTCTGCTTCCTCCTCTCTCTCTCTGCCTGCCTCTCTGCCTACCTATGATCTCTCTCTCTCTCTCTGTCAAATAAATAAATAAATAAATAAATAAAAAGAAGAAAATTCCAAATGCAGCAACAAAGGAAGGATTAAATAAAATAGTCTTATGATATTGAATAAAGAAAAGTTAATGAAGACAATAGGTAGCATAACATGACATTATAAAACTGTTACTTCCGCTGGATGTGATAATGATACTGAAGTTACATAGAAAAGTAGCCTTTTTTTTTTTTTTTTTAAGTGCACACTGAAGCACTGAGGGGTAAAATGACATGATGTCTGTAATTTACTTTGGAGAACCCAGCCATCAATTGAAGACGCCTGCTGGGGACCCCCATGAGCCAGACACCAGCAGCCTTGACCTATAGACATGTGAGGCAGGCCAGCCCTCCTCAGCCGTGCCACTGAGGAGCCCAGGTATGACCAGCATGTAGATAACTCGTATAGAAATCAATACAGCCAATAATGACAATAAATATTAATGGATTCATGGACCCAATAAAAAGACCAAAAAAAGACTGGATCTTTTAAATACACTGTTTTCATGCCTCACCAATAATGCATCTAAAATATAAAGATATTAAAAAGGCTGAGAGTAAAGGGATAAAAACATTACACCAAGCAAAACTCAGCCAAAGTAAGCTAGTAGAGTCACTAAGAACACTAGGTAGGATAGACTGTGGCCGAGGCAATACTAGTGCTAAAGAGAACAGTCTAGAACAGGGTCAAAACTCGAGAAAAATAAAGCCATGTAAAACCTGAGAGCATCTACTAACATCATCTCAAAATATAAAAGGCAAAAATGAACTACAGAGAGAAATAGAAAAATCCCCAATAACAGTGGGAGATTTCTAAAAACCCCCTCTCAATAGAGGCAGAAGAAAAGATCACTAAGGACACAGAAGACTGGAACCACACAATGGACAGACTTGACTTACTGGACATGTGCAGAACATGGTACCCAATAATGAAAACAAAACACATGCTAGGCCATTAAAGCAAGACTCAAGAACGTTTCACAGGCAGGAATCGTAGAGACTATATTTGCTGACCATAATGCAATTAAATAAGAAATCATTAACAAAGAGATAACTAGAAAAACTTTGTATCAGGAAATTTAAAAACGGGTCTAAATAAATCATAGGTCAAACAAAAACCATGATGGGACTTAGAAAATATTTTTAAATGAATAATAATGAAAATATTATACATCAACACTTAGAAGATGTAGCTGAAGCAGTAGAGGGAAATTTATAGCTTTCAATAAACAGGAGAAGGGTGAAAAATAAAAAAGCATCCCAGTTAAAATATCAGAAGAGAAGAGCAGGAAAAAAATCCAAATTAAGTAGAATGAAGGAAACAGTAAAAACAGACTAGAAATTCAGGAAACAAACATAAATGAGAGGATGAACAAGCCAAAAAATTATTCTTGGCAAGGATTAACTGACATACCTCTCTATGGAGGTATATAGAGGTACATATCTCTCTATAGAGGCTATAGAGAGAAAAAGAGAGGGCACAAATAAACAATATGAAGAATTAAAATGAGATACTACAAATGTAACAGAAACTTACAAGTTAAAAAGAGGAAATTATGAACTTGATATCAATTAATTTGAAACCTAGATGGAAGCAACAAATTCCTTGAAAATGTTGCCTTATGAAAATTAATTCAAGAATAGAACCTGACTACTTCTAGAACCATTAAGGACATTTAATATACAAAACAGTCTCCCCTCAAAGACAACTCCAGGTTCAGATGGTTCAATCTGAGTTCACGTGAATGAACATTCAAGGAAGAACTCTTACGTAACCATCTTGGGATCGCTCACATGTGGAGTCTGTAACGTGTATTACAAGCACTCAGATCAATGTTAGTTCTCTTCCCCTTTCTCCCATGCCTGGAGACAGGCAACAGAAAGACCACATCACGGACCAGTTGGACAAGGGAGTTCAAGGTTTCATGGTAACTGGACTAAATTACCTTTTCATCTCTGCTTTCATGAAAGAGTAATATTAAAAATAAACCACAGACTTAGAAACATGACGAGAGTGATTTTCACCAAATGCACACACCTGAGTATACGCCACACTCATCACTTAAAAGTCAACAAAGTGGAGTCTTGGAGCATCTTCTATCTAGCATATTTCCTTCTAACTTATTTTTGTCCCCTTTTTTTCTTAGCTATATATTGCAAATTCTAGAGCTTTACCATTGAAAATTCCTCCCCAGAGAGAAAATGTTTACTTGTCTGTGGAGCTACCAAGAAATTAAATTAACTACTCAAAGTGGAAATTTTTTTATTCAGGAAAAGAATTCCTACAGCCATAACTACTTTCATCTTCCAAGAGACAATAATTCCACACCCTAGCTTTCAGATGAAAGGAATCAAGTTCATGCCTCCATCTAATCTTCTTCTGAAAAGGAAAAGCTGACAAAGCTTTGAAAACAAAACAAAACAAAACAAAACCGCTTTTATTAACTATCAGAACAAAGACACAACGTTGATTTCTCTGTTCCCAGCTTCTTAAGTTATAAGTGATTTCTGCTATAAAGTCAAGAGAAGAGAATATGTTATAAGGAGTGGTAGCTCAGATAAAATCAACACTGTGGAGTATTCTTACCTTAACAACAGTCACATCCATGCCAGATAAGTGTAAAATCGGGGCAGCATTTTTTTCAAATAGAGTCCTTGCTTTGCTGTAGACAAAGGAAAAAGCACAAAAATGTTGACACAAGCTCTCAAGAGGAAGAAGAGAAAGCCCAACCATCTTCACTAGAGTTGAACAAGAAACAGCCTGAGAAATATGGGTTTCCTTCACTCCTGCAAGCACAGGAAGGCGAATAATGGGTCATTGGGTTCTACGGGGAGAAATGGAGACGCTACCACTCTGGGGCCTCCGGGAGTTTACCTTCTAATACAGTTGACTCTCACCCATCTGGGATGCTTGCAGTTCAGTCTAGTTCCTCTAGAGAAGAACGTGACAGTACATATGGCCCCACTCAGGACACAATGCTTGAGTCATTCAGCAAGTATTTATCGAGCACCTAGTACGTGCTAGCCACAGGGGTGGGAGCTAGGGATACAACAAGACAAAGCAGACAGAAACCCCTGCAACTAAAGTAGCATGTAATAAGTCCTCAGAGAACTTATATTCCAGTGGTAGAGGGAGGAGGGTCTATTTAACATTTTTCAGGTGGCCTGAGGGAATGTATTGAACCCCACAGAATACAGATTAATTCTAACTCGAGGATACAACCTTTGAGGGAGAAACACGTTTTTAACAATTTCATATACTAGAGGTATCTCCATTTCTTGAGTTTCAAACCTGTCATGAAAGCCCTGGAGAAGGAGCAAAATTCTTTTCCATGAAGGCAGAATTTCTGCTACAAAAGGCAAAGTTTTAAAGTGTCTAATGCAATGTTAGGAAAATCAGCAGCTTGTCTGAAGCTCACAGGCAAAGTCGCATCCTTCTCTCTGTGGCCCCATCACTCTATACATCTTTGTTAGGAATTTCCACATGGCATGACAATCAGTGATTTGCAGGACAGTCTTTGGGATGAGACTTGCCACAGGTGGGGCTTAACCCAACAAGAAAGAGCTGAGCTAATATAGTACAAACATTTCTCCTTCCAGGTTGTTTCCATTAGTGGATTGATAAGAAAAGATCCATTGGAGGTAGATCCATTCTGAGAAACAAAACTCTGGACAAGTCTCTATCGGCTATATTAATCATTTACAACACATCTGTAAGCTCCTCCGAGTTAAAGAAATAAGGATTTGAACATTTGGGCTTTTATTCACATCTTTATGTGATCCCACGCTATGGAAAACCTCTAAAATTCTACCGTTCCATATAAAAGACTGAAAAGCAAGTGTTACCAATAAGAAATGCATTATTTATTATATAATTAAAGGTGAGATAGCACCAGAGCTAAATAAAAGCTTTATATACGTACCGCAATTTCTAGGTTCACGTACACACAGAAAAATAATTACTTCTTAATGTATTATTTATTAATGCTAAACACACAGTTATCTTATTTCTTAAGGCGCCTATGTAGTTTTAAACCAGTACTACATAATGAAATAGCTACATGATGAATTATATATTATGTTTCAGAGTGGAGCCAAGGTGACAAAAATAGTGCAATTAAATAGTGAAAGCTTTAGGGAAAAAAAAAGATGCTGGAGAGCTTCAGAGTGGCTCATACCCAGAAGCATGGAGGGATTCACCTTGCTAAAGGGGACAGTAACTTTAGAAGACTTTCCCTGGCCTCACCTTTAAAGATAAAAATGTACTTTTAAACAGTAATCCACCTTTAAAAATGCCAAAACATTTACATGTAAAAATATAAACAGAACCTAAAACTGCTCTAAAAAATTGTTCCTTTAGTGTTATCATCCTTTGTAAGTAGGAACTTAAAGTAACAGAGTACAGCTTAAACAAACTGCCATAAATTTTTCTTTATCAGAATTAGCTGGTTCCTAACTAACTAGGTCTGTAAAGGAATAGGACCTAGAACAGTTACATTAAAGTAGGCAGAGGGAGAGGCACAAGAACTTTCGGGAAGGGTAGGGAAGCAAAGTACAGAATGTTCTGAACCCAGCTGACATGTCAGTAATAATCACAGTAGCTTATATTCCTTTCCTCCAGTGCTCACCATGAAATGGAAATGTAAACACATCATAGGCATTATCTCAATCGCAAAGGCACCTATTCTATACGGTAATTTTTTAAGGTAGGAACCATCACTTTTCCCATTTTACAGATGAGGACACTGAGGATTTAAGTTAAGTAATTCCCATAATATCACAGAGCAGAAGAATATCCAAGGCCAGTCCTTCAAACCCTGGAGCCCACAGTCTTCTGGTAGCTGCTGCCACAGGCCACCATTGTTTAGTTACCTTGGATATTTTGATTGTGTTGGGTTAGAACCTGTTCTTTGGTTGGTATTCCTTATTAAACAAGAATGATCAATAGGCATTAAGATTGGTGTTTACGGGGTGGGGAGAGGTGGCTCTAACAAAGCCAGTCAATTAGGCAGAATCACAGAGCAGTTCAGACAATCTGTAGGTAAATATCTTAAACTGCAGAATTTAAAGTAAGGTGTGGTGTGCTTGGGTGGCTCAGTTGATTAAGCTTCCAACTCTTGATTTCAGCTCAGGTCATTGTGAGATGAGCCTGGTGCCAGGCTCCATACTGGGTATGGTGCCTGCTTAGGATTCCCTCCCTTCCCCTCCCTCTCCCCCTCCCTGCTCGTGCTCTCACTCTATCAAAAAAGGAAAAAAAAAAAAAAAGACATGATTTCTCCTTATTATCTGTAAAGCCATATTCACTATCTCAAATTATTGGAGAACTTCTTCCAGAATCCCTGTGTCTTACACAAGACCACCAGTTATAAGCTGGTCCCAACTAGTCTTTCTGCTGTGTTGTTCTTAATATCTTGATGTCATTTGATGAAGGTCTTATAGAATCCAACCTAATACATATTTTTTTTTAAAGATTTTATTTGACTGAGAGAAAAAGAGAAAGAGAGCATAAGCAGGAGGAGCGACAGAGGTAGAGAGAAAGGCAGGCTCCCCGCTGAACAGGGAGCCCAACATGGGGCTCGATCCCAGGACCCTGAGATCATGACCTGAGCTCAAAGTAGACACGAAACAGGCTGAGCCACCCAGGCACCCAAGAATCCAACCTAATACACAGTTATTAATTTTCCAATCCTCAAAAAAGACAAAAAGAAAGGTTCTGGTTGCTAGGGATAATAAAAGATATCATTCCCCTCCCCACCTCAGACAACCTTTTCATTCTATTTTTTAAAAATACTCTTTAAGTTTTAAATGATTTCTTCTAAAAGCTTTCAAGGTCTTTTTTATTCACCTTTCCAACTGAAGGAGAACTACAACAAACACTGAAACACATTTTTGTTTGCCTGTGGTACTTTAAAATTTATAGACTTTATTTTTTAGGGCAGTTTTAAGTTCAAAGCCAAAATGAACGGAATACACAGAATTTCCATGGGCCCTTAGCCCAGTTACACATACACACAGCCTCCCCCACTTTCAACATCCTGCATCAGGGTGGGACCTCTGTTATAATAAATGAACAGGAATACATGATTATCAACCGAAGTCCCAACTGTTCTTCACACCTGAATTCCCACAATTTCCTCACACAACTCTTCCAGGCCAGCTAGACCAGGCCGCAGACTGGCCTGCAACACAGCAAGGGACATAACTAGTTACTCTGGTATTCATTCACTCACACACACACACACACACACACACACACACACACCCCAAGAGCTATTTTCTCAGTCAGGAAGATTGAATGTTCTTCCTCTGCTGACCTCCAAGACCTAGCTCAAGGTTGATTCCTTTTGGAAAGAATGTTTCTGACTTCACAAGCCCACAATGTTTTGGCCATCGTGGAACATCCTGGAACAGAGAAGGCCCAATCATTTACACCACAACAGCAGGAGCTATCCCCAAGCAGGTAAGACTTACTTGACAGTATTAATTCTGGGATTTTTTTTTTTTTTTAATTTACTTAGGGGGGAGCAACAGGGCTCAATCCCAGGACCCTGAGATCACAACCTGAGCCGAAACCAAGAGCTGGCCGCCCAACTGCCTGAGCCACCCAGGCACCCCTAATTCTGGGATTTTTATTAAACTTCAATTAGACAAGTTTGCCAAGCATCAATTAGCTTTACAGTTCTAGCTCACTAACCACTATTTCTCCATCACAAATTAATCTCATCGCTAGATGAGTACGGAACCTACTTCTGCCAACTCCACACAGTCCAACTAGATTCCTAATATTCTGTGACGTTTCCCCCCTCAGGAAAACGGAGCATGTGACAAATCACACACTGAACTACCCTCTGCAAGCTGCAGGATTGAGAAAAACCGTCGCCTTCTTCACTTGTGCGTTGGGAGGAATGAGTTGATTGCCAAACACCTAAAAAGGAAAAAAGGAAAGTTTTAAGCAAATATTCTTTTATTCAGTTAGCAATTATATATATTCTTTCATTCCAAAGGAATTTACTCCCAGGAGACATGGTACCTACTCTGGGGGGGAAAAAATGTTCTTTCATGATTCATACTGATAAAAATACCATGAACCACCACCAAATCTACCATTATTTAATGACGATCAGCTAAATTTTGTAATAAAAAAAACTCTTGCTTCATCTACAAGAGGTAAGTAACTTTCCTTTCCTAAGATGTGGCTAAGTTTATTATAAACAGATAACCAGCAAGGCCACAGTACATGAGAAGGGAAGTTTAACCCACCTGCCCATGGCCTTCAGAGAATAATCTTTTTCTTCTTCAATTTATTCCTAAGGCTTATTCATAAAGAACTGTGATACCAATAAATCTTCATATTTTCATACATGTAAAAAATAATCCTAATAGTCTGCCGCCTCCTCTTTGCGATTTGTATAACCTGCTAACTAAACAGCAGCAACTAGGGGATGAAGGAAGGCACTTGCGATGAGCACTGGGTGTTGCATGTAAGTGATGAATCACGACATTCTACTCCTGAAATCAATTTTTCCATATACGTTAACTAACAAGACTTTAAATAAAAACTTGAAATAAATAATAACAATAATAGTAATAATAATCATAATCCACAGCATCAACTGGCAAGGAAAAGAAATATTTACTTGGCACAGTATTTGCTGCTGTTCTACACATTATTCTGCACGCTCAGAAACTAGGAAGGTACTAAGTGTTCTCCTTTTAATAGTTGAGAAACCAAGATTCAATAAGATTAAGTCAAAGTCACACAGTTAATAAGTTACAAGCCTAGAACTTACACCTAACTCCCAAACCCCAACTTCTACTCTGTCCGCTCTGAAGAACAGATGAAGGAGGCAGAGTTCAGAGGCACAGAGAACCAGCTGTGCAGACTCAAAACAAGAACTAGTGTGAACTAATGCTATTCCCCCTGGAGAAGACCACCGACAAAAATAAAGAGGAAAACGCCAGAGTCAGAATGTTGAGTCTTTGACGGTGGGGAGCAGGTCTGGGCCAAGGAGGCAAAATTCAGGTATGGAAGCGCAAGGTAAAGACAGGGGGAGAATGAGTTAACCAAGATTTTTACTAAGTGACTCTTCTATTAAGTGACAACCACCCCTCCTGACAGTCCGCCAGTTCTCTCCATGATCTATTTCTTCCTTTAGAAAAAAAATACACTTTTTCTGAAAGCTTCAGAAAGAAATACTGTTTCATTAGTACAAAGTTTCTGGTACATTATAATTTCTACCCTGTCTTCACTTTTACTGAATTTGACCTTAATATTTTGCTGCCAAATCTCCAAACATTGTAATGTGTTCTTTTCCTACCCATAGTTTTTCTGGAATGTGGGCAAAAATTTTTCAGTCAGCCAGTTTCTCTGGCCTACCAGGCTCCAGATCTACAGTTCCAGATTATTCTGTGTCTTGGTTTCTTACCTACTGGCAACTCCAGGTGCAGGTTTACGGTGCATTAAGGAGCTTATGTAAGACTACAGGGAGTTGAGATTATGTGAGATTTAAAAAATCATTCTTTCAGGAATTTAGACTGTAAACGGCAGCCATAAACAGGAAAAGTAACTGGAGTCAGCTCCGAGGATGAATTTGCTTCTGTTTGCCAGATGGAAGGAGCTCCATGGGTGCTGGGACGGAAAGAACTCCAGCATGGGAAGAGGTAAATATGGGAGAGTGAGCAGTGACCAGAGGAAGAGTCTCTGAGAAAAGACGAGAAGGCACTCAGCGCAGAGGGGAAGGCATTTTCCTTCAACAAGAAAGCAAGGACCCTGTGACCACTCTTCCTCTGGGAGACCAAAAAAAGGTCCTCCTCCCAAGTTTTCCCAGGTGCTAATGGAAATCAGCTCAGGGTGGGGATTGTTCATTTTCAAAACAGCGGAGCCATAGGAGACATAACGGAAAAGTAATCAAACTCTTAAAACACAGATTTAGAACAGTTAGATCACCACCAAAAAGAGCAATGTATTAATAGTATCTATTGTCATTGTCACCCGTGAAAACATTTAGGTAACAAACATGAGGTCTGCCGCCCACCTCCTTCCACTAAATACATCATATCTTTGTCATTTTTTACTTCAAGTTTCCTTTTTGGTATTTCTGATTATCATAAGCTTAAATGACATACAACAAAAAGGCAACTCAGTCACGGAAATTCACCTGCAAGGCACAACCTACAAATCTGGAGGGGAGGAAAGAACAAAAATGTGGTCTTGAACTCGAAAAGATTTATAATTCAACTATAATACCGCCAGATACATGATTATTTCAGTGCAGTATCATGGGCCTGGGAGAACAATGCACACATGGTATGAATCAGCTGTGCTAAACAGACAGGCTTTAAAAATATGAATCAGGGGCGCCTGGGTGGCTCAGTGGGTTAAAGCCTCTGCCTTCGGCTCAGGTCATGATCCCAGTGTCCTGGGATCGAGCCCCGCATCGGGCTCTCTGCTCCGTGGGGAGCCTGCTTTGCTTCCTCCTCTCTCTCTGCCTGCCTCTCTCTGCCTACTTGTGATCTCTGTCTGTCAAATGAATAAATAAAAAAATCTTAAAAAAAAAAATATGAATCAATGGCTTGAAAGAACATTTGACTTTAAGGGGTAACGCGTGTTCGAACAGAAATCCTCGGGGGTTACTTGGATCAGGGAAGATTCAGGGCTCAGCCCGATCTTTAAGGACAACCACAGACATGAACAAACTCCCAGGGCTCCAACCAGCCCAAGTATGTGTTCTTAGGGTTAATCCAGAAGTAAACAAGTCTAAAGGGGTGGGTGCTGGAACTGCTCTACACCAGATGGTTAACTTCCTCCCGCTCTGTTCAGAGCTGGCTCTCGGCCTAAATCACTCCCCCACAGTAGGGAAAAAATCCACACTGCACCGAGGCAAGGCACCGCGCTTGTCCCCCAGATAGCCCGAGTTTGGGCGCAACAGAGATAAAGCAGGTTTTGATTTTAGCACATTCAGTGGTATTACCTGAGCTTCTTGACAGGCGGCTCTCCGTAGCAGGTTGTCGCTATCAAAGCAAACAAAAGAACGAACATTAGCCTTAATAAGCAGGTTACAATCCAAACAAACAAAACTTTTTTTTTTTCTTGAAATATGCCCAACTCTTCCCTATAAAACACCCAAGTGAAAGTCTCTTCAAAACCTGTGACACATAACGAGCACATGTGAAAAGAACTTTTCTCTGAATGAAATCCTATGTTGAGTGTTTCCACAGGATGGGGGGGGCACAAGATCCCCGCCCTCCAAGATGTCTACATCCTCATCCCCTGAACCTGAAAATATGTTATCTTAGGTGGCAAAGGGGATTTTACAGATGTGATTAAGTTTAGGATCTGGAGATAGGAAAATAGTCCTGGATTCCACAGGGGAGCCTAATCTCATCACAAGGGTCCTTAAAAGCACAGAAAATTTTCTAGGCTGGGATGCGCGGCAAATGTGACTATAGAAGAAGTGTCAGAAAGGTGCAAGCTTGCTGTTGCTCGACATGGGAGGAGGCCACAGTCAAGGAATGAGGGTACCCTCTAGAAGCTGGAAAAACAAGGAAATGGCTTCTCCCCTAGAGCCTCCAGAAGAAATGCAGTCCTTGTCGACACCTTGACTTTGACCCTGTAAGACCTGTGTTGGACTTGTGACCCACAGAACTGTAAGATAATAGATGTGAGTTGTGTGAACTACAAAGTTTGTAGTAATTTGTTAGCACAGCTGGATGCACATATCCTGCATTTTTCTTATCTGGTGGAAATTATTTAGGTGATTTGCCAGAAGTAAGTTTGATGTTTGTATCACTTTTGCGACTATGTTATCTCTTATTTTTTCTATCACTGTCAGACACTCAATTGCAGCCCAAATGGGAAATTTTGGCATGAGGTGAAACTCTGGCTTGCAAAAATGAAAACATTTTATCAGAAAAATGTTCATCTATGTAACATAAAGGTTCCTAAAATGTGTTTATGCCATTTATACTGTAAGAACACTTTAAATGGCTGATTGCCCACCAGGCTCCAGAATCTTCTTGAAAGAGTCAACTCTAATGCATGTTGCTGGCATTGCTAAGATAGTAACTTCAACCTGGTTAACGACAGTTAAAAACAGCCAATAAACAATGTATATGAAAGAATTAAAAAGAGAAAAGGGTTCTTTCACTTAAATTCTTTCTTTAAAAAAAAAAACTCTTCCTAGACCTTCCTTCTAACATTGAAGTCCTCGAACTTTGCATTTTTACAGTTATCCAAAACTAATTTTGATAGTTACGTCTAAACTAAAAGAGAATAAACAACCTTTCGCTTTTTGCCACAGCTGCTGTCCAAGGCTACACAATAATTTTTCTTCCAGAGCCAGACTGAAGAACAAACCCTAGACATCAACAGCAGTCAGCTTTAACAAGAAAGCACCATGTGAGGGGAAGAAGCAATGATGCCTGTCTGTGGGTATTTAGAATACAAAAGAATATAAAAACACTTAATTCAAAGGAATATGTACACCCCTATGTTTATAGCATCATTTTCTACAAGAGCCAAATTATGGAAGCAGCCCAAGCGTCCATCAACTAATGAATGTACAAAGATGTGGTGTGTTACTCAGCCATAAAAAAGAATGAAATCTTGCCATTTGCAAGGACATGGATGGATCCAGAGAGTAAAATGCTAAATGAGATAAGTCAGTCAAAGACAAACACCGTTAAGATTTCATTCATATGTGGAATTTAAGAAACAAAACAACCAAAGGAAAAGGAGAGAGAGAGAAATCAAGAAACAGTCTTAATTACAGAGAACAAATTTATGGTTATCAGAGGGGAGGTGGGTTGGGGGGGTAGAATCGGTGATGGGGATGAAGGAGGGCACTTGCTGGGACGAGCAGGGGGGTGATGTACGGAAGTGCTGAATCACTATTTGGCACAGCTGAAACTAATATAACACTGTGTTAACTATACTGGAATTCAAATTTAATTTAAAAAATACTGCCCATCTGAAACCTAAGAACAATTTTCAATTAAAATGATAAAGCCATACCTCAAAAGTGCATTCTGTCCCGTAACAAACATCTTACGGGGACTAATCCCTTGTGAAGTCTAGTCCACAAGCACCTTAACTGCCAGGTTCAGTCCCACGTACTTGAGTGACACCGCCCCGAGACTCCCGCACAGAAGGGAGGTGCATAGGCTTCTCTCCCTTCCCCCACTCAAGGTTCACGAATATTCACGTTTCACTCTTCTACTCAAATGCTCTCCAGCAACTCCTCTCGGTGAATCACCCCAACAGCAACAATTACATAGATCTTACACATATACAAGATGAAGTCAACTCAATGTACAGAGTAGTCAAATATTTAAAAATAATTAACATGTCAACAACCCCTTAGAGTTGACCCTGACACCTCCCATTCATGACCTCTATACAATGCTGAGGTAAAATACTAAATCCTTAGTAACCACTAGATCACCAAATAAACCTGGGTTCCTTGTAGTAACCTGAGCAATGTCACTGGATCCCCCTGGTCTAGGCTAATCCTCAGTCCAGCTTCCACACCGGCCCTGGGGGTACCACTACCACCACACAGAACCACACACAACTGTGCTCCTCCAAACACTTTTTTCTTCCTATAGATAGAATAACCTGTACCTCCAGTCTTTTCTGTGATGGACATATCCTACAGGCTGTTCTGTACAAGCCCTCTCTACGGCTACAAAGGCTGCATACCTACCCGTACATCCCTACCCATTTCCCCCAGCTGGCTCCTCCCCTCCCACTAGGGCCAGGCCTCTGAAGGTGCCAGGCTCCTTGGGGTCCTTCATAAGACGCCATCTTCCTTACTGCATTTCAGCCACATGGACTCCTGTGGACCTAGATGAAAAGAGAATGGCCCCAAATACAAGAATACAGCACCTTGGTTCACTGTTTCCTAAATTCTTTTTTGCTAGAAGCAAAATTTTTAATGTTAACTTGTGATTAAGTATATGATTAAAGACCTCAGTTCTCTCGAGCTTGCTAATACTTCTTGATTTATCGGAGTGCTATTCAAAATCAAAAGATTTCTTTATAATTAATTCCCTGGATTTTAATGTGCCAGATGGAATATGCTGTCAATGCCACCTGTGAGAAAGCCAGACTATGTGCCAATTTAAATACTACAAAAGAAAATCTCATTATAATCATACTTAATTTTTTTAAATATCAAAAATGGCATTAACCATCTTGATTTTGCTCTCTGAACCAACCTGTTTCTAAAAAATCAAACATATCCTCAAAGAGAAAAGATTTCTCCCATTGATCTATTCTGATCGTCTATAGCCAGCTCTGAAAACTATTTCAAAAAAGAAATTCCAAAAATGTTCCAGGAAAGGCATTTTTACTGGAATAAAGAGAAAATAACTTGAAATTCATAGAGCAACTCCCATGTGCCAGCTACCACAGCCGTCGTTTTCACAAACCTTTAACCTTTGTAACAACCCTGCCAGACAGGCATTATATTCTCATTTTATGTATGATGTCGTTAAGGCTCACAGAAGTAATGGACTTCCCCAAAATCACCATGCGACTAAACAGCAGACTGGAATTCAAACCCAAAATAAATGCTTTAATGCTTTTTCTTAACCTCAGACAATACTGGATGCATAATACTCATCAGTATATAGACTTGATAGCACATTCATGAATCACACATTACTTCTAATCTCATCTGATTTTTTAAAATTTACATTCATAGTGTTTTTTCATAAGTTCAGGTGTGATAAAGTTCCCCAAAGCAGCAGGTGAAACTAACTCACTCAACACGAAGTGCTGGGTACCGTACGACCCAGATCCTGTCCTGACCTGAAGCAGCTTCCGAGCACGTGGCAAAGGACAGCTCTTGGCAAGTATCAGTGATAAAGGAAGAGACGTGTTTCTTGATAAAGGACGTACGTGCCAGGCACTGTGCTAGGTGTGGATGTACTGGTGCATAAACCCAGCACTCCCCATCCTCACGAAGTTCACAGGATAGAAAGGAAGAGAGGCAGTTCAACAGTCGTAACGTGACATGACTCTTATGTGCTCTGCAACAGGGGCCCGTTTGGGAATATCTAACCTAGGCTTGGGGGAATTAGAAAAGGCTTTTTACAGGAAGTGACACTGCAGTGTAGATCTGGGGAGAAATAAAAAGTAGCAGGGCAAAAACAGGAAGGGGAACGCAGGCGAAGGCAAGAGCCTGTCAAAGCCTCAGAGTATGAGCCTGGCCAATCTCAGAAACAGAAAGTAGTTCTGGACAGCTGGAGGCAGCCCGCCATGGGAGGAGCCCCAGAAGAGGAGGGCAGGCAACACCCGGGCCCCAGCAGCCTTTTAAGCTATTTCAGGAACTGGGATTTGATCTTTAGGGCCATAAGAAGCCATGAGAGGGTTTCGGGAAGATAAGTGAGGTGACCAGATTTACACGTTAGAAGGATCACTCTGGTTGCAACGTGAAGTCCACATCAAGGCAAGTCTGGATCTAGGGACCAGGGTGGGTTCTCCAGGAACACTGGTCAGCGATGAGCACATGATGAGCCCTGGAACCAGAATTGAGGAGAGCACAGAGGTAGCTGATATTTAGGAAGCAAACTTAACAACTGGCCTGTGGGGATTGAGGGGGTCGAGGGCAGTATCCACATATTTTTACTGAGCCCGTGGCAGAAGGTGGTACCGCTCAGAGATGGAAAGCAGCAGTAGGTACTGGTTCGGGAGGCCGGAACTGGGGTTCATTCTGGATCTGCGGATCTGGGATAGCGGCCAGTGCAGGGGAGGGGTCCAGGGGACAGCTAGAAATACACATCTGAGACTGCAGACATTGATCTTGAGTAAAGACACACGTGGTAATAGTGGGCGGAGAGTGGAGCAGATCGTCTACACGAGGAGGCGAGAAGCAGCAGGAAGAGAGGCCCTGAGCCCTGCGACAGAGGACAGAGAACGCCAGGTGAGTCTCAACTACAGTGACACTGAGCCTCACTTGAAAACCAAAGGAAGAATGTGCAGAGGGGTCCCTGGCTGGCTCAGTCAG